TATTCTTAGAATCATGCCCACTTGGCTTGCACCACTGTATCTGGAAGATGCTTTTTAATTTTAGGTATTAATGGTTATTACTAGTCTCAGTTAACTAAAGGCTGTTACAAATATTGTCAAAGGCTTATGTATATGTATGAGGAAAGTAGTAACTTGATGGGCAACCTAATTTTTGCCGTAGTGGGCAACCTGGTTCAATAAAGTATTTTGTACACTGGCAATTCCCAATAATACAGACAATTATAATCATGCAGCATTGCCAAGATTTCTCAGTAGTGCTGCTCAAGTTTAGTGCTGAGGAAATTTCTGTGCAATTTTTAGGACTGAGGCATTGCAAGGCAGTATGGGTATGGAGTGAAGTCTGCCATCTCCGACTTGATTATTTTTTCTCCGGAGTCAATTTTTTCACGAATATTGTCCCCAGATTTCATTATGCCATGCAATGGTTTTGCTCCTCAAGAGCCTTTTTTTTTCTGGATAGACAGAAATTAGAAGTAAAGATGTTTATAATACAACTGTATGTACATGTAGTTTTTTTATGTGTCGTTGAAGCTTTTATCTTTTCTTGTTACTGCCCAGTTCTGACATTTGAGTTTTTCAGATCCACACTTACCCACGTATATGAGTAATGTCAGTACCAAGCTGAGCTCCCAATGTGTAATGTTATCCCATGGGATGTGTGACATCACCTGTTAGCCATGTGCATGTACAGTCAGTGTTGGAGCCTGTAATGTCATCCAAGTTCATATAAAAGCATGTCAGTACATAGTACAAAAATTCCTTTTGGTCCTGTAGCCCTGTCGTTACCTTCGCCAGATGGTTATGTTTTTGTTAGTATCTGTATCATTTGTGTGTATATATACTAGTATGTATATTACTATATGCTTGTACGTGTGAGTGGTTTATCACGATACGTCAAGAAGCTTGGATCCGATGTATTGTCATGAAACTTATAGATTTTTGGAGTCCCTTGTGGCTTGTTATAATTATATTGTACTGCAGCAGAACTTCCAGTTTTGCTATAATCTTGTGACCTGGACATAGCTGGGGTCACAAATTTTGGATGGTAGATTGCTTTGATTCTCAAAGAAGTGCCATTACCTTGAGCCCCCTACTTAGAAGCTGCAAAATGTACTAGCAGCTTGGACCATATGTAAGGCCTTTTACCAGTTTTAGTTTTAGTTCTGATAAAAATACTAGTATATAATAATAATAATAATCTTTATTGTACATTTATGCCCTATCAGGCTAAGTACAGGTGAACAGATAAAAAAGTGTATACATGTTTATAGTACAAACAGCTCTAAAACTACACTTATAGTTATACAATGTATGCATCATAATGGATGTAATCAAGAGACTTTCAGGATTCGAACTCCAGACCTTCACTTCTGGTCCAAAGGCTGGGTTACTGACCCCTAAACCAGGTTTACAGATTATCTACCACAGTGTTTGGTATATCAAAGTACTAGTACTAAGTACAGGCACGGGACTTTGTGTAACCTGATCGTAAACAGTGACTCACAAACACATGTACTAGTACATGTACATGTAACATGTACATTGTACTAGTAGTAGTAAAGTCTGGCATTTAGCTACGGGGGTGTCTTTTGGACTCCCTGTACTGAAAATAACAACAAATTGGAATCCCTCCTTTTTGGTCTACGAGTCACCGTAAAGATGCCCTATTTTTTGCGCTCGGCAGCACGTGGATGTCATCCATATGATAAAATCAACATGGCCTTACTTATTTTTGGGAATAGGTGTACTGGTGCATCCAACCTAAAAAAAATTGGATGCATCAGTAAGAAGAAAGTGAGCAAAAACTAGTTGAATATGTTACATTTTTAAACAAAAGTACTAAACAATGATTTTATTATTTTTCTGACATTTAGATGTTATATATATATACTACGATTAGAGCTGTGTACCGGTACGCAGTACCGATACTGTACCGGAAAAATTGATTAGGTACAGGTCCAAAATACCTAATCCCTCAGTACCGGTACTGTACCTAAACAATTTCACACCAATTTTATGCCTATTTGTGACCTCAAATGTGTAAATAGCTGGTTAACAATGGGTCCCTGTGTGTTCATGAAAACAAAAACATCTTTACTTTTACCTATATTTTATCTGAACATTCTCCATAAACAAAAATTAAACCTATATCAATGTTTTTCTAGTTATTACAGGAGTTCAGAAGAGCATATACATTGGTCGAATTGTTCAGGTACAGGTTCAGGTCCGGACCTGTACCTAAACCTGTGTACCTGTACCTGTACCTGTACCTAAAATTTGTTTAGGTACACAGCTCTAACTACGATACATTTTAACATCTTTACATATGTAAAGGTATGAAAGTATTTGAGCACACAGTCACTGGTGCACCCATGGGAAAAAAATTGGGTGCACAGCTCCAAATTTGGGTGCACTAAGGTGCATATGCACCCAGTATTTTGAGCTCTGCCATTGCATCTGATAGTATTTATAGCCTAGCATAAAGCATGAACTACTGATGATATTGATGAAGTAATTTCTGAACGTCTGATTGGTCCACAGGAACAGGAGGTGGAACTGGAGTTGTTACGAGATGATAATGAACAGCTCATCACTCAGTACGAGAGAGAGAAACAGCTCCGCAAACATGCAGAACAGGTATCTCCAGAAGTTTCAGGGGTGACGGTCTCCCCAGAAGAATCGATTGATGTTGGGAAAAAAATACTACTAGTGAAATACTAGTCTTAGAGAAAACTCTGAGCTTGAGCATTTTGGGAGAGGTGCTAGGATTTTGGGTAGAGGGGGAACACCCATGCTTCATTGCTTGGGGAGAGCCCTGAAGTACATATATGTACAACAATTGTATGTAGAGTGTAAAACTTCGCTGTCAAAGAAGATACTTGGTGTTGAGGTTTTTTTTATGTCTTGTTCAAGGAGATTATATCAAGAAGACTGAAGGCTAAGAATAGGAAATGTTTAACATGTTCATCAATCCAGGAACTGACTTCAACATAGAATATGTTAACGTTTCCTCCAATGTACACATATGATAGCGATATGACACTGTAGTGTACATATTTCTCCCACATTAGTCATTTGTGATGTTGACTTTTTTGACCAATCAGAAAGCGTTGGAGATGGAGGACGTACACGAGTTACAGCGGCGTGATCTTCAGAACCGCACCGAGACGCTGGAGATGCAGACACGACAGTTAGAACTCAAGTGCAAAAACTACTCCGATCAGAGTCAGTACATTGTAGCTGTTACATATACAATAATATATGTTGTAAAGTTGATTGATTGATTGATTGATTGACTGATTGATTGACTGATTGATTGATTGATCGATTGATTGATCGATTGATTGATGCTCTCTGGTCAAACCGACAAAATTGTTTCGTTGACTCAAGCAACTGGAGAGAGCAAATATGAAACAACAGGGCGCAAAAAAAAGAACATACCTAGGCTGATCCTATGGTAGCTCCAAATGCTACATACAATAGGAGCCACAATGTCAACATACAAAACTGGCTTATAATTCAAACAATGAATTGTAAGGTTTTAATCATAATGACAAATCCATTACATTGATACATGGAAAATTGTAACACCTCGAAAGAGAAGGACTTTCTTCAACTGCCCGCGCCAAAATTTTTATGAGCATTTTGCAATTGATCCAATTTTAAAAGTTCATAGACTTTTTTTGCAAATCAAAATAAAAAGTGAAGTGGGAAAATTTGACAACTAATTGATTAAATTGGTGTGGCTATGATAAATATGTTGATTTTTTTTTTGTTGTTTTCTTGTTTGTTTTTGTTTTGTAGTCACTCGACTTGAGGACAGAGAGAGTGAGATGAAGAGAGAATACCAAGCCTTGCACCAAAGACACACGGAGGTAAGGATCCTGCAGACATGTGTACCTCTACAAAGTACTGTGTACCTAAACCGACGTTCAGGTCCAAGTCCAGATTCAAGTCTAGAGGTTTAGGTTCGGACCTAAAACCAGGGCATATCATACAAAATATGGAAGGGACTTCTCAGTGAACATGGAAAATGAGGCATCTTTACCGCAACATATTTTGTAGCGAGCACTACACTACCAGGGTTTAGAAGCAAGATGTGTTGTTTGCGGGACACGTCTGGGCAAAACTGTGGCCACATAATTAGGGACGCACTTGACGATACCCAATGGCAATGTTGTCTTCGTTCTTTACTATTGAAGATGTCAGGTGGTTTAGAATAAAACAGGGAATGTGACGTGATTATAAGTCTGGAACTAGTTCCAGACATTCAGTTTTTTTTTTACTTGAAGCTAAGAATTTTTACAAGTCCGGAACTAGTTCCTGCGAACCGGTAAACAGCACTACACTCCCTCTCTAGTACCGTGGATTAGGTACAGGTACAAAATACCAAATCAAAGCTGTCCAACAGATGGACTACACAGTATGGTAATACTATTAGTTTACCACACTATTTAAAGGAAGGGGGGGAACCTTTTTTGTTGCAGTTGATAATTATGATGTATGAAATTTTCAGCAGTCATTGTGACTATCATGTTGCTTCCCAGATGTTTCGAATCTCAGATTTCTTGTTTAATGTTGTTGTGTCCAGATGATACAGACCTACATGGAGCACATAGAACGGACCAAGATGGCACAGTCCCTGGGACAGGATGTGGCCGCAAGTCCAAAGGCAAAGTACGCAGCTCGTCTTTTTATTTATTTATTCGCGCAGCCAAGTATAATCGTTAATCAAAAAATGTAAAACAAAGAAATAAAAACAGTGTGCATCATCACAAAGAAAAAAAAAACACATTTTTTTGCATACGATTTTGTTGTGTAAAAATACAACGGCGGCAAACGACAGCTTTTTATAAAAGCACTTGTTTCAGGACTGAACAGGAAACACAATTTTTTTCCATTAAGGCCTAAGAAAGAATTTTGCATACCGGTGCAATAGCTCAATTGGGAGAGTGCTCGCTAAAATGTAACCGGGAGCTCGAGGTCGTGAGTTCAAACCCCGGCCGGGTCATACCAAAGACTTTAAAAATGATACACACTTCTTTCTCTGCTTAGCACTCAGCACGTATGAGAAAGAGTGTGGGAAGGTCAAACACACAGCACTACCAGGGGACTAGCCCCCTGCTGTATTGCCTTGAACAACTGTGTGTCGCCCAATCAAGGGCTACAGAAATGGAGACCCTACGCTCTGCATAAGAGCACGGGAGACCTTCTTCTTCTTCTAAGAATGAAGTTCCTCTGGTTGTGTTGTAGGTTGCACAGCATACTGAACCGCCCGTCCTCTCCTAACTACTACGCCCTGAGTAACCAGGATGTGGGGTCTCCTGCCTCGCCCAAGACTCCGCAGGCCATGTCACTCATCGAGGGCGATGACGTGCTGGGGAGGAGCCCTGCTAGGGACATCGTGGGTCTTAAAAACACAACTGATCTCAAGGTAAGGAACAGCAGGGAATGGGGTAAACTTGGATAACATTTACGTATAGTCAAGGGAGCTTGTGGGTCGTATACTGTTACAACTGTTACAGATCTGAAGGTAAGATACTGTTAGGCCACAGTGACTTCATTTTATGGATGACATTCTCTCAAGACCTAGTGCACGCGGGCGAATAGAAAATTCCCGCCAAAAATAAAAATGCTACTAAACCACAGGAATACAAAGCTGGTATTTTTAATTTGCGGCAGTACAATGTACATAGCGACGTATACGACATGCCGGCTTTTTGCGGAATTTATAAGTCGGCACTGTACTGAGTTCTTGAGTCATGAAGCTTCGGTAGCCTGGGTGCCCGGCTCCGTATTTCGAAGCTGGTGTGTTACGCTGAAGGGCGGTTATACCGGCTATACCGATACAGATACAGATACCGTATTGTCGCTAACTACCCAGGCATAGAGCCTGGACGTGATCTTTTTTTTTTAGAACAGGCGCGCGGATGTCATCCGTAAAATTAAGTCGATGTGCCCTTACAGCAGGGAATGGAGTAAGCTTGGCTAACATTCACAATCATGTACAAACACATGTAGTTCTGGTAATAGTAGAACTAACTGAAGAGACTTCTGTTGTGCCATTGTACTTCTTTTATTTTCTTGGCTGTTTGTTCTAAACTTTGCATTCATTTTTGCATCGTAACACCGTTAACCATGGCATGGACTTTTGCTTTCTCTTCCTGTGGAATTATTTCATTATTAACCAGCTAGCTGTTTTTGTTTTTATTTTCCTGTGCTGGTATTTTGCTGTTCTGTTCTGTTGTGTTCTTGAATGGCTTCTACACACTGTTTATAAGGATGAGGAAGGAGGGGCCGAAAACGGTGCGGCACAATTGCATGTGGAAGAAAAGCATGATGGGACAGAGTCCCGCGCGACAGACACAGCAGCTGCCGACGTATCCCATGATTCTGTGCATGATGGCACCGCTGATGTTGTAACCCCTGACCTCGCGAATAAAGACGAAAAAGCAGCCGCAGGGGACAGGCCGACGTCCACTGAAGCCAGTGAATTTATTTTGTTGGGAGGCAGCCCTAACACGGTAGAGGTAACACGCTTCAGCCTCACACAGCACTGCAAAAATAACCCACTACTAACTAACGCTGCTTAACGCTGAAAAGGCATCCATGTAGTTTCAGGGCGGCAATACAAAAAATATTCTTAGTAAAACATTGAAATTTATTCCAACACAGTTTACAGAGAGATCAAATTTTCAGTCAAGTCTTGTGTGATTAAGGTCACGTGTAAGCCGTAACTCTCGCGAGATCACGTTGTAAAGTGATTGGTCATTAATTGTCAGTGGTCGCTGAAAATTTGATCTCTCTGTAAACTGTGTGTTGGAATAAAGTTCAATGTTTTACTATGATTACTACCAACACAGATGAACTTTTATGAAAAAATATTCTTGATAAATTTTGAAAAAACAAGTTACACATTCAATCACAAGGAGTTTCTTTATTTTTTTGTACCACCAATATTATTAAGTATCTAGCAACTTTCTACATTTTAAAAAGAATGAAAAGAAAATTGACTACATTTGTATTTGAAAATCCGGTTTTACTACCCTGAAATTACTTTTGGTGCCTGTCTCATGCTTGCTTTAACAGGTATAAATTTTGCCATCACTACAAGGTAATTCACAGCTTAAAAAGTATCAATAATTATTTCCATTCAACAGCCTTAACTATCAGAATGTTTTTTCCATACAGCATACAATATACAGGTATTTTGATTAACTTGCATCAAATGATTCACGAAATCCAAATATGTGTTAATCATTATAGACATTATGTTGTACCTAGGTTTGTAAAAAATAACGTTCACATTAATTAATTGTATGTCTTGATGACAAAAAAATGGAGAGCTAAAACCAATTGCTGATTGCTGGGCTCGAAATACTGGGTGCATTTCTGATGTCTACATGTCTGCACTGGTCCATGTACTGGGTTTGTACATGTATTTGTATTAAGAAATACAATGTCATGTAATCATCATGGCAATAATAATATAGTTTTTGAACAAATTTTGATATGCTCCAAGTGTGAGTGGTAACTTACAGAGAAAGGTATTTCGAGCCTCAGATTCTTATACCACAAATGTCCCAGGTGAAACCACATTTGTACCTCAATTGTTGAAGGTGAGCATGTACGCACTAGGCAATGTGCAATGTATCTGTTGACAATGACCTAAGCTTGTGTTTCCCATTTCAGTCTGAGATTCGGCAAACCATGACAGACAAGAGTTTAGACATTCAAGCCGGTAAGTTTCATTAGAGACTCTGGTCTATTGTGATTGTACTAGGAGCTAGCCATGTACATGTACAATGTAGGAATTACAGAATGATTCAAATGGTACATAATTATGTAGTAGTCAGTAACTGGTGATTGACTTCAAATGTACATTAAGCCTGCAAAATTAGATAATCTAATATGCCTTTATCAATTAGTATAATTGCAGGACTACATTTTGTACTATTGTGACAAATAGAATAATTATTTTTTTACAAAATGTATGAGTTTCCATATGGCACTGGGTACACTTGTACCTGTGGACTAGCCCCCTGCTGCAGTGATTGCACAATGTCTGTGCGGCCCAAGGGCTATAGAAGTAAGGATAAGCACTACCAAGGGTGACCGTCTGTCACCTTCCTCAGGGCAATTCTGACTGGTTCACATTGCACTGCAGCACAGGTGTCGCTGCTATAGATGCATTAACAAAAATGCAAAATATTTACTGTTATAGGGAGCATACTGGAACAGTACCATATCTACAGTGCAATCCCAAATGTACAGGAGTGTGATATATATTGTTCCCAAATGTAAAGAAGTGTGGTATATAATTGTTGTCAAGGAAGAAAACCCAAACAACTATAATTATAGCAACAGTTACATGTACATGGAACAGTATCTACAATGCAGGCCAAGACATACAGAAGTGTAATACATGATTGTCAATTAACACAATCAACTTCTACAAAATTTAATGTACCACTGCATGATGTCAACTGAATGAATGATCTGACTTGATGTACTACACATGTAGAGCTGTGTGAGTTACCACCGCTGCCTCTATGGAGTAGTGAAGCCCTCAGAAACGGAGGTTGGGAAAGTTCTGTTGTTTCGGAGGTACTGCTGTGTTCTCGGTGGTGGGACCTCTGTCTGTCTGTGTACCTCTGTCAGGGAATGGCTAAACCATAAGCAAAACTGCTGGACAGGTTTCAAGGGAAATGGGAATTTAAGGCCACAGCAATTTAATTTGTTGGTTCTGGGATTCTGTCAGAAAAAATATGAAGCGACAGGGCGAAGAAAAACAAACAGGTCTAGGCATCCTATTATGGCCCCGAATGGTACGAAAGGAGCCATGAAGTCAACACAAAAGGCTGGGTTACTATTTAAACAATAAATTTTGAACTTTGAATGAATCCACTGCATTGATAGATGGAAAACAGTAACAACTAGGAAGAAAAGGGCTTTCCTCAACTGTTGAGGGCAAAATTTTGAGCAGTTTTTAAGTTGATTCAGAACCAGAATCAATTTTTTTCTTGCAAATCAGAAAAAAAATGAAGAGGTGAATCCGAGAACCAACAAATTAAATTGGTGTGGCCTAAGGACTGGTGTATCAAATCTTGCTGTCATCTTCAGCTGACAGGGTTTAAAGTACTTTATTTCAGGTTGTGAACTCAGGGTTCTCACCAGGATTTTTTCACAGCGTAGGGGTCAGGTACAGAAAGTCGCATAATCAGTCCCAAAGCAGGAGGTCTGGTATTCTCCCAGAAAAATGTGAAACTCTTAACCCCCTGAGACACTATTTCTTGCTTTATTGAAGGACACATTTTTAAAATTAATGTAACAGTTATACCTTTATTCTAAAGTTCATTTTTTAAAAAGATTTATGAAGGTCCCCCCCCCAAAAAAAAACCCACCCCTACGCTGGTTGAAAGACAGTGTAGGGGTCCAAATCACAACGTAGGGGGCCCCTACACTCAAATAGCCTAGTGAGAACTACATGTATACTACTAACTTCAACAGTTACGTATACTGACAGTGCTTTATTATCTGTCCTGACCACATGTACTCCTTCTTGACACAGGATCAGACAGAAGAGTTCAGGACATTCTCAACACCACCCCAGAACTCTCCCAGACACAACCCATCGATGTGCCAGGAGCAACAAGGTACAGACAATCAAAATTTATAAAATGCTAAAAATCAAAGTCACCCCATAAGGGAAAGTGGTGTTCAGTGCTGCATTAATGCTCATAGTTTTAATGCTGGGTTGAGGCAGCATTGATGTCAACTGCAACGGCATGGCACTTTGGCAGAATGTCTTATTTCATGTCATACTGTCATATTTAAGGATGTCATCCCGTCTAAACATTGTTTAGTTTTCAGTTGTTGGGTTGGAAAAAAAAAAAAACACCTGTAATGGTTAAAATGTGGGTGAAGTACATTGTATGTTCTGCCAATGTGCTGCTGTGATACAATGTTCCCTCAATTTCTTATCATGACATTGTACTCTGTTGTGTACCACTTTTTTTTTATCCATCAAAACATCAAACATAACGGCGCTGCACTCAAATTTATAACTTATTTTAACAGCGCCACACAACAAAATACAATTAAGGTATAAATACACAAACTTGACATGCACATGTATCAGTGCGCCATAACCCACCACCCCCAAAACATTAGTAATAATACTAATGCTAACAAAGTTATTATTATTATTTTTTCATTTAAAAAATGTATTGAGTACGACTTGTATCCACAGCACCCCACTCAAGTCAAACCAGGACTCCCTGTTCCAAGAGCTGACCACCCAGGACTCAGAAGCACTAGGAGAGATGGATGAAGGGGCTGACATCACAGGTAAGGCAACGCTAACTACATGTAAGTCTGTAGGTCACTCACTTGGAATAATGCTACTTTCTATTGACTCTGGGGAAAATTAAAACGGCCAAAAACTTTAGCTAAAGTCATCCAATGCAATTTCAGGGCAGCAAAACCAAAAAAATATTCTGGATGAGAAAATCTGTCCGATATTAACATTTACCTCCCTTTCTTAACACAATTTTGTCATCATTTAGTACTTGAAGCATTTGGAATAGTTTAATATATCAAGCTATGTGAGAAGTCCTTTTATTTTTTTGTACCATCAATGAATAGCTAGAACCAGTCTATGATACAACTGTTTTGTCAGCAAGATTGCATTTTTACGCCACAGATACATGTATCAGAATGCTATTCTGCGATTTGATACTTTTTAAATATTTATTTAGAGGGTACACTTGTGAAGTCCAGTTTTGAAATACTCTTGCCAGCAGACCAAGATTTTGTAGTACAACATCATGTACATGTAGTAGTATTCACACAATGATAGATAAGTGTTTTCAATAATATGTAAGTAACAATAGGGTTTGTGCTACATTTACATTGTAGTACATAATTCCATTATTTTACATTGTCAAGAAATACTTTTCCATTTCTACTGTCCTAAATTCACAATATGTTCTCTATTGTTTTGATGGTTAATTTGTATAATTATTCCTACTCACTGCTCTTCCTCTCCTCCTGTCCTAAGGCCACAGCAAGTAAATTTTATGGATGACATCAGTGCACGCAATGTCATTAATTTTTGCCTGATTTTCGAAAAAAAGAAGAAATTTTTTTGCCTTCTGACAGTGGTCAACATGCCGAAAATGGGCAAAGATGTCTGTTGCAATGCCGGAAGGTGGATGGCAGATAAATATACTAGAGAGGAGACAAGAAAAGGCTCTGATTTAATGCTTTGTTTCATACTTGATGCAGTGATATGTGATGCTGGCTGTGTGTATTATGATGTTCCCACTGAATCAAAATCTTTTGTACAATGATTGAGTCAAAATTTTAAAATGTAGGAACCTTGCTTTTTCGGCCCGCCTTGTTTTTTTTCGCCCGCCCGCATTAGATTTGGAGTCTGCGGAGGATGTCATCCATGAAATTTACTTGCTGCGGCCTAATGCATGTCACTGTTTCTTTCACGGCTTCCAAGGATCACTCAGGTCCATTGACCCTAGTGAATACTCTCTCTCTGGTTAGTACATACAGCACAGTCACACAACAACTTCTTTTCCCTCTCATTATTACATCATTCTATTTTTTTTTAATGCAGGGTTTGAAAATCGTTTTATGAAACCTACAAATCTGTAACTTGGGTAACATCCTGGTTAGTTTATGTCTCCTCTGAAGAACTTATAGCAGCAACTATGGTAGCAGATTTTGATGTACACAAACTAACCAGGATGGTACCCAGGCTATGTAGGTGCACATAGAAATTTGTGCCTACAACATGAAGAGATTATATGGAAAATGACTAAGTACATGAAGGAAAGAGAGCCCTTCTGTCCAGAGTTTTAGGCAGAATGTAGAATTTCGGTGAGAGACAGTCAGTGTCAGTGCACTTTAGATAGACACAAGGTGTTTTTGGAAAGGGTTTGAGACCTGGTGGAATAACACTGAGACTAACTTTTTAACATTGATGTTGAGCCCCTGTCACACATAGCCAAAAATGGCCTCCCAAACATTGCCAAACTCCCCCATGGCTTATATGTAGGTCAGCAGCAACTGAAATGTTTCAAACATTAATAAACTTTGTTTAAAGTTAAAACTTTTGGTCCAACACAAAAAATTCTCTCACCTATAGAGCTTTCAACCAGTAACTCCTTGACGTCACACTTCAAAGAAGCCACAAGACAAGCCTCACTGGGTCAGTCTACTGAGGAAGGCCAGAGTGACTGCTCGAAAGTACTAGATGTAAGAGAATTTTTGTGTTGGACCAAAAGTTTTAACTTTAAACATGTAACTACCAACACAGATGAACTTTCATGATATTAATAAATTTTGGATAGACGGGAGGTGAAGATCAGCAGTATTTGGGGGTTTGGGTTGACTCAAATTTAACTGAAATTCGATTCACATGTACATTGTAGAAAAGTAGGCATTGCCTAAATCTGGTCAGACTGCTCCCAAACTTCAGCCAAACCATGGTTGGATGGTGTTGTTGTTGGGGGGGGGGAGGTTCTGAATGTGTGACAGGGCCTGCTTTCTTGTACCCTGGTTAACCCTGTGAATGTTGTGTTGGACCCCAGTGTGCTGGCTTAACGATACCCTAAGTGACTACTCTGATGGTAGGACTAACACACATATTCATTTCTGTTCACACATTCATTTTCGTTCCTCCATTTTCGGTTGTTTTATTTTAATTCATATAATTTGTTGCACGCGCATCTTTGGTTGTCTTGATACATCCTGATACAGTCAAACCTGGCTCAACATTTTACCTCTCAATACACTGAGAGAAAATGGTTGCAGAAGAGAATTGGTTGCTTCTGAAACAAATGGGTTGGTTGTCCAGATGATTATTGTGACATGGGGGTTTCTAAGAGACTTTTACTAGAAAGCTCAACATGGGGGTTTTGAGGCAATAATTTCTAAGAACACTAAAAAGCACTGTATGGGGGTTTCAAGAACAATAATCATTGTTAGGGGACATATTAAAACACTTGATACTGGATGGAAAAGGTTGATATGGAGCAGTCCATTTTAGAATGGGGAGGAAGTTGGACTGAAATATGATGCATTTGCTTCCCATAGCAAAATTTGATGTTGGCCTTTCAATTTATAATACAGTTGGTTGCTTAGCAGAGGGTCTTAACAAAAATTAATGTAAAATTGGACTGGGCTGTTTTAAGTTGGTTTGTGATGCATGACGTGTGGATGACTAGCCAGGTTTGACTGTATATGGAAAGTTTCAAACCACAGTCTACAGCACACTCGTACAAATACATGTAACATGTACCTTGTGTCTTGAATCTAAAACATGCTGTCTTTCCACCTGCTAAATGCTTACTCCTGGACCACTAACAGTCAGTGACTCCTTCTTTGGTAAGCCCTGTGTGTGTGTTCATTATGTGTATGTGATTAACATTTATGAAGCATATATGCCTATACAATGTACAATGTAGTGTACTGTGTGTACACCTAAACATACAGGTACATGATTCTACAATCACGTAGTACATGTACATACAGAGTTTTTCTGTACCTGTACCTGAACAATTGGACAAATTAATATAAATACATATATATGTAAATGATATGTTCTTCTGAATTTCCTCAATATTTTAACATTAAAAACAGTACTGTTACAGTAGTAAACTTGACAGAATTTTCATTCAAATACTACAGGACAGAACTATAATAATAGTTACATGTATGTCTTATTCAAACAAAACACTACTATCTGTCATGTAGACAGTTTCTTGTTTCATACAATACTCTAGCTGTCCTTGAAAGATTTGTACAGTTGCATTTATGTAATGTAGTTACATGTACATGTATGCTCCTTCTAGATATCACTGCACACCTTTACTACATTGTGTATGTGATATATGTATCGGTTAGTTTAAGTGATTCCTTACTATTTAGGACCTGTTCCTGATCAATTTTCATGGTACTGTGCTAATCTACAGTACCAGTACGCAGCTCTTATTGTAACTGGGCATCAAGCGTACAAAGGAGGTGCAGAAAAAACAATTGCCCAAAAGGGTGGTCAGAATTTTTTCTTGCCCTCCCCGTCTAACCAATTATACATAAATGTACATGTACCTCACCACCCCTCCTAATGTCTTCTAACAACATTTAACACCTGCTCCTGAAAAAACTTCAAATGTACATGTAATGTTGCCACAAATTAGAAACACACACATTTAAATTCATAATATATTATGTCCCAAAATCTGGTGTCCCTACACAAAAAAATTGCAGCAAGTACAATACCGCTAAGTAATCACACAGGCCACAAGCCCACAACACCTGCATTGAACATTGTTGCAGCCTGGGTATGGCATACATGCATGTAAATAGCTACTATCTTCTCAAAGGCATTTTCATGATGGACTATAATGATTTATGAAATCCTGTTTTTTTTCCAGGTACATGTATGTTGTTCTCTTTTTAATATTTTCTTTTACTCGGAAAAACAATAGTTAACAAAAGTTAACAGTAATGAAAGTAATACAGAGTATTGTTGCCTCCACAGGTATGGGGAAGGAAGTGGAGAACTTGATTGCAGAGAACACACAACTGTTGGAGACGAAGTCAGTTCCTTTCTCTTCTGTAGTGTAGCTACATTGTATAGCATAATCTAGTGTCATACCGGTACAGTGCTGGTTCATTGTACGTCTTACATGTAGGCCACACCAATTTAATTTGTTGGTTCTCGGATTCGGATTTTTTCTGATTTGCAAAAAAAAAGATTCCGGTTCTGAATCAACTCAAATATGCTCCTATTTTGCCCCCAACAGTTGAGGAAAGTCCTTTTCTTCCTAGTTGTTACAGTTTTTCCATCTATCAATAATGTGATTTGATTAAAAGTCATAGTTTTAAATATTAACCCAGCCTTTCGTGTTGACGTCATGGCTCCTATCGTATCATTTGGGGTTAGAGTAAGATGCCAAGACTTATTTCTTTAATTTCTTTTTCGCCCTGTCGCTTCATATTGTCCGAATTAAATTAAATTAAATTAAAACAAATTAAATTGGTGTGGCCTTAGCGATTATGTATTTGGTATCTGTACCTGATGAAGTCTTGTGTTATACAGTGATGATTGTACTCAGTAACATAATCCTGTCCCTGCTGTTTTCTCCAGGAATGCCTTGAACATAGTGAAGGATGATCTTATAGCCAAAGTAGACGAGCTGACCAGGTAAGGGGCATCATTATCAACTTTTCTGTTTATTCTTCTGTAGTCTCTTACGTTAAATCAGCGCCATCCTATAGCATACCACTCTCTGTAAAGGCCTGGTCACAACCCGCCGTACGTGCATCTGCGTGTAAAATGTGTAAAACAACGATGTTGAAAAAGTCATGTACATGCGTGTTATACGCCAAAAAACAGTGACTCAAGCAACTGGATAATTATGATTTTGGAAGTTGCCTGAGTAACTGCTTTAGGGTCTAACGTTCATCAAAGTATTTTGTGTACTACAATTTAATATCGCTTTAAGATTGTGTAAACAACAGTACTGTCTCTCTCCGTACCAGTGAGGCAGAGATGTTGCAGAATGAGGTCTCAGCTTTGCAAACCTCCAAACAGAGACTAAAGCTGAAGGTCAACGACCTGGAGGAGGAGCTACGGAAGTAGGTCTTAACAATTTACATACAGTCATGTTGTCCTTTAAGTTCCAGTGCTCTTCTTCATAAGAGACAGTATCTTATATACTGTCATGTAGGTGTCTGTACGTACTCTTTGAAGTCTTGTTATGTTTACCGAAGGAAAACAAACTGTTTTTGTTCTGTTTCTTCTTCTCCAAACAAATTAAGTCATTGACCAGACATCTGTTACCAATAATTTTGGTAACTAGTGTTGGATTACATCATGTTGCAATTTTATAACAGGAGGGATTTAGACTCCTGTCACCATAATTTTTATGAAATGTGTTTTAGTAAGAATTGTTTCCCCCACCAGGGCAAGAGCAGAAGTAGAAGAGATGAAGAAAGGCCCACATGATGAAGATGTAAGTCATTTTACTGTATTTAACACCTGCATGATTGACTCGGAGTCCATATTAAATACAGTCTATATAACAGAGCTTAATAATATTATATGTGATACTGTGTGCATAGGACAATGCTAAACTTTATTCCAACAAAGTTACACAAGGATCAAATTTAACAACCACCGTCACCTTAAGTTCAATAATTGCCTGGCACAGTTGACCAAGTGCTGACAATAATATGATGATAATAATTTATACAAAAACAGATGAAGTTCCATGATGTGTGTTTAATGTTCTATCCAGGATGATGTGCCCATGGCACAGAGGAAGCGCTTCACCCGAGTGGAGATGGCTCGTGTCCTGATGGAGCGTAACCAGTACAAGGAACGACTCATGGAGCTACAGGAGGCCGTCAGATGGACCGAGATGATACGGTAAAGCCCCCTGTCGAACGTAATGCTGTGTACTTAAACCACATTTAGGTTCAGGTCTGGATCCAAGTCCAGAGGTTTAGGTTCAGTTCCAGACTCGCAAGTCTGGACCTAAAGCCATGGCATATACAAAATTGTAACTTGGCAACCTTGCAATCTTGTTTGGGCAAAACTTTGGCCACATAACATGGAGGCTGACACTTGACGATGCCTGGTGGCAATGTTTTCATCATTTTGCAGCACAAATTTTGCAACTATGGAAAGTTTTAGGTGGTTAAATGGAAAGGAAAGGGGTATATGACATGGTTTGAGCTCTGTTTTTTTTGGCAACACCTTCGGGGTGGAGCCAATCAGTACTTGAAAGAATAAGATTTCCATGTGCACTTAGGTGTGAAGTTTAGCATGTTTTCTCCAGTCTTGATGTCGTGACTGTATACTCATTGACAAGTTTACCTGTTCCGAATTTTTAGGGCTTCGAGAGAAAACCCAGAACTTGCTGCTAAGAAGAACAAGTCGTCCATATGGAAGTTGTAAGTATTTTGTGCTTACTGTAAAAGACTTATCACTGACCGTTACATTCTAAAGATATTCACTGCACACAGCAAAATTAAATTGTTTTCCTTTGTTTTAACCAATTCTTTTTTCATCAAAATCTCAAATTAGCCTGCAGGCTATCTTTTTATTAACTAACATCAACTTTTTTCCAGTTTTAGCAATCTATTTAGTTCGTCGTCTAGTTCAAGTACAGCCAGTAAAAAGTCGTACCCACCAGTGAACGTGCGCTACAACGCACCAGCCTCTCAAGTCCAGCCTGCCGGGAACCCTGACCGTGTTCGCAGTAACACCTTCTCCGCCATGGGAGACAAATCTAAGGCCTTCAACTTCCTCGCAGAAGACAGGTAGGGGCAATATAGCACGTCAGCAGACTGTACTGCACCTGCGCAAAACCCGTAATGTATTGTACACAGCACTTCGGCAGAACATCTCATATAAGGTTGTAGTTGCTCATATAAGGTTAGCATTCGGACAGTAGTTTCCAAATGTTATGTCGTAAAAGATATCGTCTGCAACAGGGAAAATTTTGATGCAACGTTGACCAAAAATCCAACGAAAACCATGAAAATTCAGGATTCTGCGCTGGGCAATATGCTCTAGCCTTTTTATATAAATGTGCTAATACAACACGCTTTCCTAGTATTCATGATCAACTACCAATGTCCCGTGTCTTTAGTGTCACAATCATGACCCAGGTACATGTAATAATATGAATTCTGAAGAAAACTGCAGAAAGACAGTCATTGAAAAATTTTGTGTTATCTTATTCTAATGCGGCTGTCATTGGCAAAGATTGGGCCACATGCAGGTCCAAATAATTAACAAGTGGTTGGCATAGGCAAGTCCCTTAAAACCCTTGTCCTGTGGAGCCCAAGAATAAGTTGTTTTGCACATACAGTACCATCTATATAACACCCTGTATAGGTACGATTGTACAATTTGGGAGTATTTCTCGTGCAACGTGTTACACCCCAGTGAAACGCAACGAATGTGGAAGTACCTATGCCACCGCAGGGCAAAAAAAGTCAAGGTCTATGACCTTATAAAGTCATGAAATTATTGGAAAATATAATTGTGTAAAAAATGCCAGCAGGACAAGGGTTAATGCTTACACCTTAAAACGTTGTTAAACAGTTGTTATATACACTGTAGAGGGCTAGTTTGACTGTACTGAATAGTGTGAACTATTTTCCAGCAACCTGAGTGAAATCGAGAGGAAACGTCGGGAGAAGCAGGAGCAGTACAAGCGTGTTCGCGCTCACGTCAGGAAGGACGACGGGCGCATGCAGGCGTACGGCTGGAGCCTGCCCGCCAAGTTTAAGGGTCCCTCCATGACGGAGTCATCACGTAACTGTGTCGTGTCCGTCCCCGTCCCCGTGTACTGTCGGCCACTGCTGGAGAAAGAGCCTGGCATGAAGGTAGATTTGTTTGTTTGTTTGTTTGTTTTGCATAACTGGTAAACTGCCAAGGGCACAAAATCGGTGACAAGACAGGATTTGAACCAAGGATCTCTGAGTTCTGGGCCAAACACCCTACTGTAACGTCACATGGCCCTACAGTCCTACATAACTGGTAAACCACCTTTTTAGGCAAAACATGCCAGTTTCATACATGTAAATACAAGCTGAGTAAGACTGGACCGTAAGGTTTGAGCAACTCACACTGGGAAGAACCCCTGACTGCTGCCTTCAATGGAACATAGGTTGATAAGTGCACCAAAAATTTAGCTACATCAGCCTACTTTTATCGATAAGTGCAGTGTATTCTTTAACGTGCGCGGGGTGTGACTCTTCCCAATCACGGGACATCCATTTAACATCCCATCCGAGGGACGTCCCTAACAAAAACAGGTCCTTTTTGTTTATTCATAGGCTCGTTCAGCTACAAAATGCATTTATGGGTGGTATCAAGAAGATGACAAGCCTCATGTAGCTTGTTTTAAACACTTCAGCTGAAAAATATACTAAGAAATGGCAGTAAATGTTAATATCAGATTTCCTCATCCTGAATAATTTTTGCCGCCCTGAACATTGCACTGGATGCCTGAAAGCCAGTCTGAAGAGCAGATTCTGAAGCAATTGTTCTGGTTCTGTAGATACTACATTGTATTTTAAATTCTGAAAAAAAGTATCAGAAAAGAATACCTGAAAAAAGGATTTTGCACCCTGAGAACCGTGGTGTGTCGTCTATTGTAGATCTGGTGTGCTGCGGGAGTGAACCTATCCGGAGGTAAGACGCGGGACGGAGGGTCCATCGTGGGAGCCAGCGTGTTCTACTCTGACAGTCTGCCTGATGAGGACGGCAAGAAGCGAGGCTCGCAGACAAGCATCGACAAACTGGACGCTGAACTTAAGGTTTGTTTGTTTGTTTATTGAGATCTCCAATTTAGTATGGTAAATTCCATACTTTTCTTTCTTGAGTCCAGTGACATAAAATAAAATAACAACGATAATAATAATTGTAATAATAATTGCTTTTAAGAATCAGTAACATCTGTAATTAATTTATTCTTTTTGGTGCACCCCAAAAAAATCTTGAGCATCTAATTTTTTTAGGTTGGGTGCACCAGTGCACCTACATGTATTCCCCAAAATGAATTTCAAGCCCTGCTGATGAACCACTTCAACAATGTTCTTGTGTTGCCAGGAGAGAGAAAAGCTGCTGCCCACCACAGAGAACATGTCGTCCATGGTGTGGATCTGTACCAGTACACACGCCACCAGTAAGGTCACCGTGATCGATGCCAACAACCCACAGGAGATCCTGGACACCTTCTCTGTCTGCTCATCTCACCTGCTCTGTATAGCCAGTGTACCAGGTATTTGTTTGTTTGTTTATTGAGATCACCATCATAGTATGGTTAATTCCATACTATTCTTCCTGGAGTCCAACAACATAGAATAAAATAGCAATAATGATAATACTAATAATGATTACTTTTAGCAATAATGATAATAACTAAAGCATACAAAACTATGCTGAAATTATAACAGACTTGAAACAAAACCAGCATAGAGAAATGAAAGTGCATTGAAGATCAGAGGTCAAATTATGATAGAAATAGTATGAAATGAGAGTAATAATTGATGTACTAATGCAATCAATGGAAAATTGAAGTAACAAAACAATAAACAAATATTTGAACAGACACAAATAATAACAAAATATAAATAACACAAATGCAATAATCTATACGCAACAAAATGTAATTCCTTTAAATTAAGTAATTAGATTAATTACTACAGTATGATTTCTCACTCAGCCTTCACTGTTTCTATATATTATTTGCACATACATATTCATCTAGAAAGGTAACATTTGCAAAGCCAGTGCATAATGTTTACCTTCGCATACATGTATGGTCTGCTCTGTTTCTCAAACACATTCATAATTATATACATGTACATCTAGTGACAGGAGTCTAAATCCCTCGCTATAAAATTGCAACATGATGTAACCCAACACTAGTTACCATGGTGACAGATGTCTGGTTCTGGTCATTGACCTTATTGGTTTGGAGAAGAAAAAACAAAAACTATGATTTCCTTCTACAAAATACATGGTTGTGTCCATGGTGCTGAAATACCATGCCATACTGCTGCACACCCCTACATAAAACATGGTAGTGTCCATGGTGCTGAAATACCATCCCATACTGCTGCACACCCCTACATAAAACATGGTAGTGTCCATGGTGCTGAAATACCATCCCATACTGTTGCACACCCCTACATAAAACATGGTAGTGTCATTGGTCCTGAAATACCATCCCATACTGCTGCACACCCCTACATAAAACATGGTAGTGTCCATGGTGCTGAAATACCATCCCATACTGCTGCACACCCCTACGTAAAACATTACAAAAGAAGCCTCTTTATAATAGAATCCATGAATTTAAAAGTGTTTTCTGTCTGTGTTCAGGTGCGATGGAAGATGACTATCCCCCAGAAGACTTTGTGATCAAAGGGAACGTGGTGGTGGACACAGACTCAGCAGAAACTAACAAGTCTGACACCAGCAGTGAGTCAGGCATCGGTGGCATCACTGTGGTGGGCTGTGCTACTGGAGCTGTTCCACCCAGTCAGAACGGAAAAGCCGCAGGTAGGAAATCAGTTTCTAGTTTGAACAGGAGTGCCAGAGGATACAGTGCAATCTTATGTAATACAGTGCAATTTTATGGAATACAGTTCAGTGGTATTAGTATACAGTGCAATTTTACGGAATACAGTGCAATTTTACAGAATACAGTGCAATTTTACGGAATACGGTTTAATAGTTACTGTATTAGACTAAGTATACAGTGCAATTTTACGGAATACAATGCAATTTTACGGAATACAGTTTAATAGTATTAGACTAAGTATACAGTGCAATTTTACAGAATACTGGGTGCAATTTTACTAGTAAAATTTTATTAGTAAAATCGCACTGTATACTATTAAAATTTCACTGTATACTAATGCAATTGCACTGTATTCCGTAAAATTGCACTTTATACTAATATTCTCTACGGTATTCCGTAAAATTGCACTGTATACTAGTAAAATTGCACTGCATTCCGTAAAATTGCACAGTATACTCTGGCACCCCTGTTGAACCTTTCTTTATTCATGAGAATCTCAAATTTAGCCTACAATACAAAAAAGCAACCTTTTTTCTGTCAGCGACATTGCATTTTTGCCTCACAGACATCAGTATGCTAAATTAGAAGAATTGCTAGAAAATTGAAAATCCTTTTTTTGCTGCCGTGAGAATTGGATGCCTAATGGAGGCTTGCTATCCTCTTAGGAACCAAAGATGTAGAGAGCCCTGTAGAGATAGCAAAGGAAGCCACAGAAATCCCCACCCCAGCCCAGGAGCAGGCCCCTTCAGTGCTAGGAGAGAAGATGGTGCAGGTTAAGGTGGAGGGAGTGACTCCGGAGCAGGGTGAGGAGGAGGGAGTTACTCCAGAGCAGGGTGAGGAGAAGAGGGATCAGGGTGAGCAGGAGGAGGCTGAGGTAGAGGAGGAGGCTGGACCTGGGGAGTTGGGTGAGGGTTAAAGTCATGCTTTCCATCCTGCTTGTTATACACCATGTATTAACGTGGCATCGGGTGGCGTAGTGGTAGAGCATTCAACTATGAACCGGGGACTTTCCTCACTCCACCCAGGTCTGAATGGGTACCTAACTTCAGTTGGGGAAAGTCATATTGAGGTCACCTTGTGACGCCGAATGGCAGCCGCACAGAGCCTTGCGACAGATATGTGTATCATGTGTGTTATTTGATTGTTGTGATTTGTATTGATCATTATGTGATACCCTGCATCAATTCAGCCGTATAAATTTTCATTTACATTTTTGTCTTTTTTGTTTGAATTTAGCAATGATTATACAACATGCACATTGTTATGAATCATTTTTAAATATTTTTTTTTGCAACAAAGGTATAATTTTGCTCATTTTGCAACTGTTTTGTACGATTTACAGCATGGTTGAAAACTTTTTTTTGTATGTCATCCATATATGAACATGGCCTAACCAGCACACTGTGATGTTCCAGATGAGTTTGCAGACCCGCTCGGTGCCACTGCAGGTGGAGACGGCCCAGAATACACTGCTGTGCCTCTTACCCAGACTGCCCCTGCCCCACGAGACAGCCTCATTAAGGACCCCAACTCCCTGTTTAAGGACGGCATGGCGGCTATACCGGAGGGAACCGGTCTGCCGGAGGTGGCTAAGATGAGCAGTGTTCTCCCCACCATGTGGCTGGGAGCACAGAACGGATGGTAGGGACACTGCAAAGAAAATGTTCTCGTCTTAAGGCCACACCATTTTAATTTATTGTTTCTCAGAGTTTTTTCAGAAAAAATATGAAGCGACGGGGAAAAAAAAAAAACAAGCCAAGGCGCCCCCTGATAGCTGGAAATGGTTCAATATGAGCCATGAAGCGAACACCAGGCTGGCATATAATTAAAACAATAGATTTTGAACTTTTAATGAAACAAAAATGCACTGTTAGATTGAAAAACTTTAACTAGGAAGAAAAGGACTTTCTTCAACCGTTGGGGCCAAAATATGTCTTTCATTGAGCATTTTGCTGTTAATTTAGAACAAAAAAAAAATTTTTTTTTGGCAAATCAGAAAAAAATGGACAGGGCGAATCCGAGAAACAACAAATTAAATTAGTGTGGCCTAAAGACCACAAATTATGACACAATATTTAATGAACAAAGAGAACTCTGGATGGAATCAGACAGTTTGACAGAATGACAGTCTTTGCGCAATGTAAAGTAGCACCTGCTGGGTCACTTCTAGTCAATGGGACAGTCTATTGTAGAACCGGTGGAAAGTTTGCTACAGGTTTTTTGTTCCCTGTCTTGTCCTATCACCATGCTTTTTGCATAAAACATGGTAGTGTCCATGGTGCTGAAATACCATCCCATACTGCTGCGCACCCCTACATAAAACATGGTAGTGTCCTTGGTGCTGAAATACCATCCCATACTGCTGCACACCCCTACATAAAACATGGTAGAGTCCTTGGTGCTGAAATACCATCCCATACTGCTGCACACCCCTACATAAAACATGGTAGAGTCCTTGGTGCTGAAATACCATCCCATACTGCTGCACACCCCTACATAAAACATGGTAGAGTCCTTGGTGCTGAAATACCATCCCATACTGCTGCACACCCCTACATAAAACATGGTAGTGTCCTTAGTGCTGAAATACCATCCCATACTGCTGCACACCCCTACATAAAACATTGTAGAGTCCTTGGTGCTGAAATACCGTCACATACTGCTAAACACCCCTACATAAAACATGGTAGTGTCCATAGTACTGAACAAGGTTTAACTGTATCTGGTATATTGTACTTTGTAAATTTCTATGATCATTTTCATCCATATGAAATTCAATGATTGTGTTTCCTCTACAGTCTGTATGTGCACTCATCTGTGGCACAGTGGAGAAAATGCCTGCATTCCATTAAACTGAAGGACTCAGTACTCAGCATAGTGTAAGTGTGCACAATTCTACTTACCGGTAGTTTAATATATACATACAACTGTAGAAGTGTATTCCACAATTTCTGTATCACCATTAGGGTGATGCGGATTACACCGTGTTATATTGCTTTTATTTATGTCCTTCCCACCCGAGAAAATGCAGTGCAAAAGTTGGTGTCCTTAAAAATTGTAATAACATGAATATTCTAACGTTTGAATCTGGTATTCAAATTTTCGAAAGAAGCACACTCACACCATCATTTCCACTCTTTTAATTTGGTGCTATGTTCTTGCACACTAGGAACTCATACTTTTTATCATAATGGTGCTATGAAATTCCTTAGACAGATGCTGCAAACTTACGGAAATATTATTTTACAGCCATGTAAAAGGCCGCGTCCTGGTAGCCCTGGCAGATGGAACTCTGGCAGTGTTCCACAGAGCAGCAGGTAGGGTCATCTTACCTAACCAGGCACTCATTCAGCCTCTTTGTACATGTACAGTCATGTATAATGTATTGCTATACAGTAGAGATCCTGGAATAATGTAACTTCCCATCTGCACACATATGTAGTAGTAGATATCTGACAGAGACCCTTCTCGATCAGTATTAGAAATACCCATCTTAAGTCTGCATTTTGCAGACTGTTGCAGAAGAAAAATTAAGCAACCTGAGGGGTTCGAGCTTTTGTGTTTACTTTACTGAAAGACATAATAAATATAAATGTTTACGAGAGGGAAATAAGCACAGGCTTTGCCTTGCTGGCCATTTACATGTACCTCACAATGATGAGCCAGCCAGTAAACTTCTCTTCTGGTCTCCAGAAGCTAAAATGAGAAGCCATCCATATACTACATTAAGGAACCTTGATGTGGAGACTAGATTAAGGGGGAAAGAACTAACATAAATAAATCATTGTATGACAGAGACTTAGAATTGCATGGAAGATAAACTTTGTAATAGCTTGAATGTGTTAGGGTAGGAACATAGTTATTATCTGTTGGCCTTGTGACTGTTTTGTTTGGCAGATGGTCAGTGGGACTTGACCAACTACCACCTGCTGGACCTTGGGAAGCCACACCACTCCATCCGCTGCATGGTGGTGGTGTACGACAAAGTCTGGTGCGGCTATCGTAACAAGATACACGTCGTGCAGCCCAAGACTCTCAAGATTGAGGTAGGCTCATGTTAAAGAACCCACCGCACTTGTAGCATTATGTACATGTAATTGAGAACAAGAGAAACATAGACAGATATTGATTATGTAAATTAAGAATTAATTTGCATAATTAATGAGAAACTGTTGTAATTCAGCAATGGTAACTGCCTGGAATTTCATTAGGTATTTGAAAATTTACTGAAGGCAAACATCATTCAACATAACTTATTCAAATAAGGACCTTATTTGCATAATTTGAGGAAATGCTAGAATTGCATTTTGGTGGAGAATATGATCTGATTTCAACTGATATGATTTATTGAAATGAGGATCATATGTGCATAATCTGGGGGAATAATATGTAATTTTTCAGTCATAAAGATTAATTACTGTTCAATTGGCGAAGGTATGTGATCCTCCACTTCAGCATGTTTTGTACAGGCAGCAAGGCTGTTTGTTGTATGAATAAACTTACTGTTATAAAAAAGAACTGTTAAAACATTAAGTCTTGGTTGTGTAAAAAGAGTAACCTACCAACCTGATGAAACTATTCACAGCCTAACTACAGGTTTGCATGTTAACGTCTCTTGTCCCTTGCTTGTTGCAGAAGACGTTTGATGCTCACCCGAGGAAGGAGAGCCAGGTGCGGCAGCTGGCGTGGGTGGGAGACGGTGTGTGGGTGTCCATCCGACTGGACAGCACCCTGCGGCTGTACCACGCACACACGCACCAGCACCTGCAGGACGTGGACATAGAACCTTACGTCAGCAAGATGCTAGGTAAGTCAGCAAGATGCTAAGTCAGCAAGATGCTAGGTAAGTCAGCAAGATGCTAAGTCAGCAAGATGCTAGGTAAGTCAGCAAGATGCTAGGTAAGTCAGCAAGATGCTAAGTCAGCAAGATGCTAGGTAAGTCAGCAAGATGCTAGGTAAGTCAGCAAGACGCTAGGTAAATAAGGCATGACCAGGCAGGGCTCGAAATACTGGGTGCATTGGGTCACGCAAATATGTTTGTAGGTATTTTAATTAAACATATCAAATACCTGAATGTGACTGACTGAAAAAAGTCACTTGTTTTGAATCATAGGCTGGCTTTAGCTATTTACAAATGTACAGTACATGTCCTGTAGGCACTATCCAAAAATTAAAAGGACACCATGTGGCTTTTGTTTTGGACCAACCTGATGAAACTACTGACGGTTTATGGTTTAATGTTAATATTATTGTTTTCTCCAGGTACTGGGAAGCTGGGTTTCTCGTTTGTGCGGATCACAGCCCTGCTCATCTCCTGTAACAGACTGTGGGTGGGGACAGGGAACGGTGTCATCATCTCCATCCCTCTCACAGAGAGTACGTACACAACATCTAACACTTCTACTCAGTCAGCACGTCGGCAGAACGTACAGCAACTGCGCAAAACCTGTAATGTGTAATGTACATATAGCACTTCGGCAGAACATCTTATATAAGGTTGTATTTGCCCATATAAGGTTAGCATTCCGACAGTAGTTTGCAAATGTTATGTTGGAAAAGATAGCTTCTGCAACAGGCAAAATTCTGATGCAATGTTGACCAAAAATGCCACAAAAACCGTGAAAATCCAGGGTTCTGCGCAGGCGCAGTACATTCTGCTGACGTGCTTAGTACTCAGTCTTTCCTGCCTTTTTGGCGAGGCCTCAGGGGCAGAGCCCTTTGTTTCTCCTGATTTCCTTTCCTTTCAATGTGTCACTGATTCTGTGAATTATATTTACTTGCAGTTAGCACTGCCCCTCCTGCAATACCGGCAAGTAAGTTCCCTGAAAGAACCATTCCGCTTCTGCATCCTCCAGCTTGCTTTTCTCCCTGGCTTTGCTTGCTTTTTGAAAAAATGCTTACTTTTTGGAGCTTTTTAAATATGCTGATCATTTACATGTCCAAATTGATAGTGTTGCATGTTATAGTTTGTAATTGTTGTAGCATGGAATTTAGTCTGCTATTCCTTGACTTGTCCTGACTGTCACAATTTTTTACGAATAATATTATTGGTACTAAAACCAGAATGTAATATTACCAGTTGTACATTATATTATATTACATATATTGCATGTGCAGTCATGTCATGTTATAACTTTGTTCCTATAAGATAGTGTTTATGTACCTTGTCAAACCATTTCTTCTTTGGCCGACCGCGGGGGTTTGGGCCTTCCACATCCATTGTGAGGATCGTCCTAGGCCATTTGTCACTGTGCATTCTTTGGAGGTGGCCATACATGTACCATCGTAGTCGTACATTTAGATTCATTTGAAGATGGCCTCCTTAAACTCCAGTAGAACTGTCCAGAAGTTTTCTCCGTAATTTATCCAGTTACTGGAATAGAGTTTGACTTAATAATATCTAATATATATATGTATGTTAAGTAATGTTTTGCTGGATGTCTAGCCTTCACCAATGTATCGGTTCCTTTATTATACAATGAAATACAATGTAACAAGTAAAAGCTGAGATTTTATACCTCCGGGCTTGTATATTTTTATATAGGGTTTTAAACAAAGAATTTATAGAGACCGGACACCCCTCTGTGCGAGGGGTCACCTTCGAGGACGAGACCGACAATACCTAATACACGCCAAAGGTCAACGGTCGCGACCACTTTCACGTTCAAAGCGGTGTTCTGGGGCCACCAAAAGGCACCATTTCCACGCCTGAAAACACATATACAATAAAAACAAAAGAACGTGCATCATCTGCAGCCCAATAGCAAAACATATACAGAGTCTCAAAAGAATCCGTCCACCCAAACGCGAGAAACAGCTGCAAACATGAAAATCTAATTCTCTCACAAAATCCTTCCGCGGAAGGATGTCTCCTCCCCTGGAGGTAATAATTACCCCATGTACACGTCTTCCTGTAGGTAACAAACCAAGTGGTCCTCCAGCCGCGGCATCGGTCAGCCGTCCTGGTGGGGTCATCAGGGTGTACAGCGACGCTAACTCGGACACGGTGACACCTGGCAGCTTCATCCCGTACTGCTCCATGGCCCACGCCCAACTGTCCTTCCACGGGCACAGAGACGCCGTCAAGTTCTTTGCAGCAGTGCCAGGTAGGAAGCATTTTACAGCTGTGGATTTCTGTTGTTTTTTTTGTTTTTTTTTTTTGTAGATGGTACATGTAAATCCACACTGGCTTAATTTTATGGATGACATCCTCTAAAGACCCCCAAACTAACATGTAGTGCGAACAGGCAAATTTGAAAAAATTACAGCCCAAAAAAACCACAGGAATACAAAGCTGTGGTAGTACATAGTGATTGTACAACAAGCTGCCACATGCTGGCCTTTTGCGGAATTTATGAGTCGGCACTGCGTACGATGAGAGCTAGAGTTCCGTGGAGCTTCAGCAGCCTGGGTGCCATCCTCTGCCATCCAATGTGCTTGCGGATGTCAATCCAAAAAATCGATGTGTGTGGCCTAAGGCCACAGAAAGTAGCATGTCAGCAGAACATACTGTGTCTGTGTAAAACCTGGATTTTGGCTGGTTCTCCACTGGATGCTTTGTCAACATTGCATTCAGAATTTTGCCCGTTGAATGAACATAGCTTTTCTGACACAACATTTGAAAACTGCAGATGGGAATTTTGCCATCCTTAAATAATAATATTTATGACCTTAAACAAGATGTTCTGTCAAACTCAAAGTGCTATGCCAGTTGTACATGCACTACGCTAACAGACTAAGTATGGTTTTCGTGCAGGCGCAGTACTACATGTTGTACATGTATCTGCCAACATGCTACAGAAAGTAAATCAATTAAATAAATATTTTAATGAATGACATATACTGCTCAGTCAAGTAAAAGAAAGCAAGATGGGCCAAAAAAACAAGATGCTTATAAATAATAATAATAAGGGACACAGTGTAACAAGAATTGAAGCTACATGTACAAAGCATTATGTCAACAAGACTTTTATTACTGAGAATTTGTTTCTTGTAATGTCCATAATGTATTAGTATAACACACAAACCAGCCAATTATATTATGCACATACCTGTGTACTCTAGCATAATGCTTTACTGAAGGTAGGCATGACATTATAATTATGGCTAGCCATACATTTTTTATAATTCTGGAAGACTTTGCATATACTTGAACATTGTACCAACAATGCTAATTTGGTAGACTTGCAGGTGGTACTTTAAATTATAATTGTAGATACTGTCTTACACCCTTTTCTTCTTCCTCTTGCACACATGACAAGATTAAATGTGACCCAATGAAACAAAGAGAAAAGCATGCCCATGTACATGTACATGTACATGTATTATATCAAGGTAGAGACTCTGATCAGTTAGAATTGGCGATTCTACCAGTAGAGATCCTCATCAAAATATTTGTAAGCAGACTCCCATCATTATGCTTAATAAACATTACATTAAGGTGTTTCTATTTTACAAATCTCATATTTAAAGTCAATTGAATTGATATCTAAAGTGACATAAATCAAAGTTGAAAAGTGACAGTCTATTATCGAATATCTTAAATGTTCCAGACTCTAATCATGATCTCTGCAGGTAGAATAACTGACTCTAACGGCAGTCAGAGTTTCTGTTAAGGCCTAGGGAAAAAATGTGTTTTCTGTTTCCAGACTGACCCTAGAAAAACCTGCCAACCCTAGTCTTTTTTGTGTGGACCCCTGCAAGGGACATAATTTTTTTTAGCTGAATAGATTGACCTTTTCTACCTCGGAGTCCATGATCTGACAGCTGAGTGATGAAACATTTGTACAATCAGTTTTCCAACATTGACATTGAAGCTATAAGTGTCCTCACGCAAGTTTTACTTTCAAACTGTATTGTTTATTAAGTTGGATCACTATATAGAGATGGCCAAAGTCTAAAAAAAAAGAAAAAGAAAACTTAAGATAATCCCTATAACAGTTATATATATTTACCAACCGTAATCTTTTCAGGACTGAAACAGGAAACACAGCATTTTTTTTCCTATACATGTACATTGTAGGCCTTAACGGAAACTCTGACTGCCGCTAGAGACTTGAATGGGGATCTCTACCAACTGTAGAATCACGGATTCCATCCCTCTCTCTACCCTGATCTACATGTACATAAAATATTGCTGAAGCTTGCAGTGCTTTGAATAAGCAGGTGTATAATTTGGAGGATTCTGTACTATTGTCTGTGTTTAATTCTTCTGCTGTTCTTCTGCAGAAATAGCAGTGCAAATCAGTTACACCGACCTAGCAACTAAACAAGGTATAGCTTTTGAATGAAAGGGTGTTGACTGACTTCAGTACTAACTCCTCTCTGTAAGGGTGGTCTGTCTTTTCTCCTGCCATTTACATCTACTAACCAGAAATGCAGTGACTGTAGCTTTTCTTGTAGCCTCGGTCATTGATTCAACTGCTTGTTTCCCCCAGCACTCTTTGTATATCAAATCTTGAATTCCACGATATCATACCTCCGACAAATGGAATATTGTGGCTACACCTTCTGGTCATGTTGTTATGGGTAGCACTGACCATGCTGTTACATGGAACATGCTTGACGTATCAGTTGTTAGTGTACATTCATTGCTCGTGGTGATATAGTTATTATGATAACATGACAGGGTGTTAACATAGATGTAGTTAACACAGTCCGGTAGACTTGCAGACTCTACGGATAAGAGATAAGGATGCTAGATTTGTAAATTGTAAAGATTTGTAAATTGTAAAGATTTGTAAATTGTAAAGATTTGTAAATTGTAAAGATTTGTAAATTGTAAAGATTTGTAAATTGTAAAGATTTGTAAATTGTAGATTTCATTTAAGTTATTGCCCATTGATCCAAAGTGATATGAAGACTCAGTGAAGTTGAAAAGCCCTGAAGGGACAATATTTAATAATATATTATTCATTTGGGAAATTGAAGTCACCGTGGAAAATAGAAGAGTTATACCCACCCAAAATGAAAATTGAATAAAAATAAAAATTGTCCCTTTTGGGTCACCGTACAATGTAGTTCTGACTCTGTACAAAATAAATGTCTCAAAATTCACAGACTCCAAATGGTATCTCCAATGGCAAAATGCTGCTAGACTGCAAATCCTACTTTGACATTATAATATGACAAAAAAATGATCATTTTTGAACTAATGTCACAGTTACTGTTTTTTTTTTGGTGTTTTTAATATCAAGAAGAATAGTAGGGGTGACCCAATGTGCTTCATGATCATTTAAAGTGGTACATTACCAAAGCAGCATTGTTGTCTTCAGCAGCTGTCTCACTGACAAGAAGTGACTGTCACAAAAAGTGACAATGCTAGTTGAAACGTCGGAGAGTTTCCAAAATCTATCCATCAGCTTGAGTAACAGTTTTCTTGAGTATCTTATTACCTAAGGCCACACCAGTTTTACTAAGTATGATATTATAGTAAAGAATTAAAAGATGTTGTGGAATCTGTATGGCAGGACTTGTCTGATGCATGTTTTTTATTTTTTATTTTTTGTTGTTGTTGTAGGCGTTGCTGCAGCCTTGGGTGCCGCCATGCCCACACCCCAGCCTGAACCCAGTAAAACAGCAGGGAGCAGTAAGAACGTGTTAGTCATCAGTGGTGGGGAGGGCTACATCGACTTCAGAGTAGGTCTGTATCAACATGCTTCATGCTTCTTTATTACAACACATTCAAGTTAAACTTAAAGGCATGCAATTTAATTTTTAGCGGCAAAATTGGGCAAAATCAACAACTCTACACATGGCTCTCTCCCGCCCATTTCATCTGTAGTCCGACAACGTAGACTTGCCCTGGCAGGGCATGTTGTTCGTAGTAACAAACCAGCTGGTAGACTAGTGCAGTGGCTTCCCACTGGGAGACGTAGAGTGAGACGTCCTTATCCTACACTTTTGTCTATGTTAGAGAGAGATACTGGTCTGTATATGAAAGACTTAGTCTTCTTCAGGGCATTTGTTTTGGGTTTCATTGACTTCGAAACCCTACATGTAGTTTTACTGCCCTGAAATTGCATTGGATGCCAAATAGTATTAATTTAAACATATACATGTAGCGTTACATGTACAAGCAAGCACACACACACTCGTGCACACTCACATACACATATTAAAGAAAAAAGAACAGTTGAACATGTCTTACTGCCTTGCCCTCTCCCAGGTGATGAAGATGATGATGAGCCTGCCCCCAGTGGACCCGGTACAGGAGCGTTCGGTGACATGTCTCCCATGGCCAAGCCTTCCATATCAAAGGGAGAGCGTAGCCATCTCATCGTGTGGCAGATAGCTAACGCTGACTAGTACAACGTACCAACAACGTGCAACTCTAGCTGCAAGGACAAAATCTCGCTAAAGGCTTCTTGCCAAATGTTGCTCCAAACTCTGGCAGTATTTACGTAACCGTTGCCAGGTTAGTGTACAAAATCCAGGTTCCTCGAATGAACTGTTTCTATCAAATTGTTGTTAGGAAGGAGTAAATATTTACAATGAAACAATGTTCAGTGTCTTTGGGTAAGAAAATAGGTTGAAAGAAAAATGGATGAGGAAAACAGCTAGGCCGTGTAGGTCAGTCTAGTCCCGGTGTCAAAAAGAAGACTTAGTGCTTGTTCTTGTTCTCTAGCTGCAAAATTCCAGGTATTCAATTCTGTTCACTCTCACAGATACACATGTACTATTGTTACATACATGTACATGTACAGTGAGCTTGTAATACTGAAACTACTCTAAATACATCAACCTTGCCTTGAATTATCTTGAACTTGTAGGGCTTTCACTGCTGTAACATGCTGGACTTGTTTGTGGAGGGATTTGTGTTCTTTTATTTTGTATGAATTATGAATTGGGCATTGCTTGTAATAGTTATTTTTTGTATTCATGGTTAATATTATAAATTACAACAGTTACTGTAGTTTAGTCATGTGATGAGATTTTAAAGCTTACATGTATGGCAAAGAGAACTAGGGTTCTCGATGTAAAGAGGTCTGTTGTGAAAATGTTTTTATGTTATTGATTATATTAACTACAAGTACAACTCTCATTTTCCTTATAAAGCGTTCAGAACACATCAGAGGTGAAAGTAGTTGCAGATTCAGATGCAGGAGATTCAAACGTGATGGAATGTATGAACTATGACCTGGCTTTTAATTCGCATTACCAAGGACATTATACACAGACACAATGTCCTTGGCATTACTAACAGTAATTCACTGTTCAACTTGACATTTTTGCATTCAAAGGTTGCATTCAAGGTTCTGAATTGTACTAAAATATATTTTAAGGTAGCGTGGAAGTGGAAAGACATGTTGTTCTACAGTAGTTCTAAACATTTCAAACATACAATGATATCCCTGGCCAGTGATCTAATGCTCTGCGAATTAAAACTGCAAACCAGCTTGCAATTGAACAATGTAGTATCCACATTTTCAAATCACCACAACTAGAAAGTTCTCAATGCTAAAAATGTAACTGGCTGGAAGGTGAAATATAGAGATTGCTCCATTTTGAAGTTTGATACTCAGGTCTCTGTTGAGACTCTGAGATACTGGTATATATTTATGTAAAATATGGTATTGCAGAGTTATAATTTATGCTAATGTTTATCATAGATCATATGGAATATTACTTTGCAAGTACGTTGTATCGTGTCTTAATAAATATCCGTTTGGATTGTACAAAATGATGATTCCATTTGGCCATTTGGGTGGTAGTAGTTTCTGTAGCTGCTAAATACATGTATACATGTCTAATGACCACATGGTTTGGGCCACATTGGTTCATTTTTTTGGTTGGATTTTCAGAGAGGTTAAATGACAAATTTAACAAGGCAAGGATCTGCAACAGGATCCCTGTCTAGAGCTGTGTACTGATACTCAGTACAGGTACTGTACTGCAAAAATTGATTATGTACAGGTCCAAAATACCTAATCACACTAATCGCACATTATTGTATCAAGTTCCACTAATCATAAAATTATGCTTATTAGTGGCCTAAGGCCACACCGATTTAATTTGTTGGTTCACGGACTCACCCATTTCATTTTTTTCTGAAAAAAAAAAAAACATTTCAGCCTCTGAATCAACTCCAAAATGCTCATATTTTGGTCCCAACAGTTAAAGGAGTTACAGTTTTTCCAGCCAGGACAGAGCCTCAGTAAACATGATCTTTTTTTTTTTTAAACAGGCGAAAATCGATGTCATCCATAAGATTAAGTCGGTGTGGCCCTACTGCAAGAAAATACTAGCCTGGGTGCCATCCATCTTGTAACAGAGCACCTTGCACTCCCTAACCCAACTGCCAGTGCATGGAGCCCCATCACAAAATGACTGGCACCCAGGCTGAGAAAATAGAACCAATTCTATGAAATTTTACCATCCAGAAAAGGTAATTAAAATCATTATGAAACATGTTAACAATGACATATTAAAGTAGCTTACATGTACATGTACACATGTATGACTTAACTTGCAAGATGTACATTGTAACAGTACCATTTTTTTTTTTGCTTCAGTCTTTCAAAGTAGTGATGAACATGAAGACTTGTGTCGAAATATGATGGCTGGGGTAACATTTTGAAGAAAATGAATTTTCATACCAGCAATGTTATTGAACTCAGCTGCTATATACACGTATTAATTATTAACTGTCTGTTTTTACTCTGGTATTGAGAGTACAGGAATTTTGTCTTTGCAGAGATGTCAGATGTTCATTGCTGATTGGTTGGTGGGGAGAGAAGAATGTTTGAGCCTAGCCAATCAGTGAGTTGGTAACACCAGGTTTTAATGGTGTTTTGTTCAGCCAATGGTGCAGTCTTTTTTTGCCAATCCAGTAAAAGCAGTGATGCTTCATGTCTCATTGTTTGTCTCATCTTTGCTGTTTCACGAAATTGTAGCTTTCTTCACGCCTTCTGTATGGCCACACCAATTTAATTTATTGGTTCTCGGATTCGCCTCTTCATTCTTTTCTGATTTGCAACAAAAAAAAGTTTCTGGTCTGAATTAACTCAAAAATGCTCATATTTAGCCCCCAGCAGTTGAGGAAAGTCCTTTTTCTTCCTAGCTATTACATTTTTTTCCATCTATCAATGCAGTGGTTTGATTAAAAGGTCAAAATTTAAATATTAACCCAGCCTTTTGTGTTGACTTCATGGCTCCTACCGTAGCATTTGGGGCTATAATAGGATGCCTAGACCTGTTTTTTTTTTTCGCCCTGTCGCTTTATATTTTTTTCTCAAAAATCGAGAACCAACAAATTAAATTGGTGTGGCCTAAAAGTGGTTTCTCATGCAACCTTATAAATGTAGAAAGTTCATCTGTATTGGTAGAAAACATTATGAAGCAATTTTTTTATTATTATTCAGAAACACAAAGATAAATGCAAATGAAAGGACATTGCCTAAGTGACTGCGAACTTAGGTTAGGTACAACTTATATTCTCGCAGCCACTTTTACAATGGAAAAAAATATATTTTACAAGACGTTTGAAAATACATGAGACCTCGCGTGAGTAAAAACTCCCCTCCCAGAAGATACATACAGCTAAAAGCGTTTTATTTTGTGCGGCTAACGTTATTTTACAGTTGATTTTAAAAATAAAGAAAACTACCGCGAAGAGCTAAACGTGGGGTCGTGTGGCGTAGCAGCAGAGTGCTCGACTCGGAATCAAGAGGTCCCGGTTCGAGTCCTGACATGCCACCGATCTTGTGCCCTTGGGAAAGGCACTTTACACGACTTTCCTCACTTCGCTCAGGTGAAAATGAGTATTGTATTGTCCCCTGTGTTGGTGGGGGCATTAATATAATATAACAAAACTTGAGTGTGCCGTCACCACGTCTTGTGATAAGATGTACCCTCCAGATTAATTACAGCCAGGCGAAACATAATAATTATAACACTTATCAATTATTATTTCGCAAACAATCATTGGACAAACTACCCTGGGATGTTGAAGTGTTGGAGATTCGTTCATGATGCTGTCCTCCCCTGGGTTTTATCCCGTAATGGTATCGCCCTGAACTATTTTCAGCCGCCCTGTTTATCACATACCCAAGAGGAATCTGACCCAGCCTAGCGTACATGTTCTAAGACTTCATAAATATCTTATCCGTCACAGTCTTCACACACAACGACAGAGAGGATATTCAAGGTTAGTATTCTGTGATTATCACTACAAATAACGTTAGCATAAATAGCGATGCTGTTGCTTACATTACAGATTGTTAAACGAACCGTATTTATTTAAATAGCCATGTAGATGCTCAAAACCATACAAGATTCCATGACGTTTCCATTGTGATGTATATACATGTATACCCATGTTCCAACGCCATCACAGATTTTGCTACGACAAAGCAGTATTGAAATGTAGAATTGTGGAGAAAACATGCTATTCTTGATGTAGTGTATCAGGGGCCATGTATAGTGTACAACGAAAATGCCACAACCATGCATAAGAATTTCACAGTTCATACACACTGGCGGCTTTGAAATTTTTAAATCCAATGGTGCTTTATGCATGGAATTTGTTAGTCTAGCTTCTCAACGATACATTGCTAGTATCCGTATATTTTGTCTGGATTGAATGTAAAGAATTTCTCTGTCTTAGCGTGAGTGTGCCCCCCTGACTAAACAACAGTACCTTGACCCTCCCGCGCTGTTCTTTATCTAGATTGTGCAGAGCTCCCAGCAAGCTTCCTTCCCTGAATATTGTGTCTGACGGCAGGATATATACAGATGAACACCATGGCATCAACATGGACGCTCGCTGTGTTACTGTTACTCGGAACCGTCTGTGAGTTCATCTCTTTACCGTTTGGATTAGCCTCCATAGCATGCCAAAAATTGGGGATTTTGAGGGTCTTCATGGTCTTTGGAAGCTCTTATGTGCTATTTTCTGATTGCATATAGACAACATAGCCGGTCTGGTTTAATTTTAGAACTGGGCTAATCAGAAAACCCGAAGACCGCCAAACCCCCAGTTCTATAAGCCTGCTACGGAGGCTAGCTAGTTTGGATAATGAGTATGAAGGTAACATGGGCGCTTGTTTTCAATCGTGGGGCCCGGGCTGTGCACACAGTCTGTGTATTTATGTCTCACAGAGACTGTTTATGATGTTTGGCATTCTATAGGGCGTGACGCAGTCTACTATACGGGCCAGCGCTTGTCCTTGTCAAATGTCAAACATATCATGTGTGGGGCGACAATCCCTCTGGCAACTTGAAAAGACGAAAACACTAGTACTGATTGGCTTCATACTGAATTGGATGATTTTTCAGATGATATTCTGGTACATTTAATTTTAAGAGGTTCTTCTTTTCTCTCAACATTGTACAATACCCGTGTTTTGTAGAGATTTATTTTTGTTACCTTCGCCATAAGCTTAAGATTATGTTTTGCTAGCGTTTGTGTTTATGTATGCGTGTGCGTGTGTGTATGCATGTATGTGTGTCTGTATTTATGTGCTTATGTATGTGTGTATGTATGTATTTATGTATGTATATGTGCATGTATGCGTATATGCATGTGTATGTACATGTATGTGTTTATGTATGTCTGTATGTATTTGTGTGTGTGTGTGTGTGTGTGTGTGTGTGTGTTTGTGTTTATGTGTATGTCTGTCTGTATGTATGTACATGTATGTGTGTTTGTGTGTGTGTGTGTGTGTGTGTGTGTGTGTGTTCGTGTGTATTGTATGTATGTGCTTATATATGCGTGTATTAGTGGAGCCAAGCCAAGACATTTGTGCAATGTGGTTTAGCACGATAACTCAAGAACGATAGATCAAGAATCTATGGATTGTCATGAAGCTTGGCTAGTGTGGGTGTCTTCATAAGACCTAGAAATGATTAGATTTCGGACTCCTCGCGGCTTGTTACGGTATTGCAACGGTACGTCCGGTTTCCATATCCCATGATCGAGACATACTGGGGTCACGAATTTTCGGTGGTAAATACACATGCAGCTCGGGAAGAAGTGACGTGAGTTTCGGTCCCTAGCAGGTGATGCTGGAACGTCAGAAGCGTTAGTTTAAAAACCTTGAAGGGAGGATAATTCGTTTTATAGTGATCCGTTTCTATGATGCTATGATGAGAAGTGAATTGAAAGAAAGATATTCAAAATGTAGGAAACACGAGCAAAACATTAGCGAGACCACATCTGCTTGGAGTTTAGAATAATCCATTCAACTGACGCCGGTCTTGTGGCGTTCGTGGCGCAACGGTTAGAGCGCTGGACTTATAACCAAGAGGTCCGGGTTCGATACTCACTATATGCCCCTTGGTGAAGGCACTTTAGAAAACTTCCCTCTAAGGCTAATGTGTCTAAATGTATGTCAAAAACACACGGATTTGGCGCGCCAATGTACCAACATCTGCACATTTCCCACTAAGAGCCGTGTATTATCCATCTATGGGGGCCTTCATGCCGTTTTTTAAAATTAGAATTCTACATGGAGCATAGACGGACCGCTTTAATTCAACGTACAGTGTAATTGACGCATTTTGCGTAGAGCGTAATTCGTCATTTTATTTTACGTAATGCGTTGTAGCTACCCGGAATTTATCGTAAAGCGCAATGAGGGAGGCATCTTGAATTCAGCGTAATACGTAGCCAGCTCTCAAAATTTAGCGTAGAGCGTTGTTGGGACCGCCACCCCCACCCCACCCCCATGCAGGCCCTCATCTTTCACCTGACAGACTTGCGTTCGTGAGAATTTGACCTCTGAGGAGGCCCAAACATGCACCAGGAAGCCAGTTCCGGAGTAACGGAAGTGTGGGGGTAGTAGTTAACATGCCAGACCATTCTGTTTTCCTTAGTAGTGGTGACATGTACATGTTCAGCTTTTTTTTTTAACTTACACATATGGCGATTTATTTACAATACTATAATAATAGTACAATACTTTGCCATATGTTTACGAATAGTATTGCTATACTACGAATACGACAAGTTTCGCAAAAATAAAAGGTCATGGTGTAAAAGTGAAAACAAAAAGTTGGAGGTTTGATTTTGTAAATGGTTTAAATATGAGGTTGAAAATTAGTTTCATATGTTTTGATTTTTGTTTTTTTTTAAACTCAACTCAAATTATATTCTACATGTGAACGTCCAATGTTTCATTTAAACATTTCATCATTAAATTCCCTCACATTAACATAATGATGGTAACACATGTCACAAGAGTGAAATTCTCATCAATAACGAGCTCGAGTAACGAATTACGTCGCTACTACCGCAAAATCATAATACCGCTCGCAGATTTCTGTGGTTTAGCAGCATTTTTTTGGCTGGAATTTTTTATACGCCCGCGCGCACTACTTTGGGGGTCTTCAGAGGATGCTAACCACAAAATTCAGTCAGTGCGGCCTAAGACAAAAAAACTATATGTAGTCTCTGCACGGATCTGGATACTGGCGATTCTATCAAGCAAAGGACCATTTAAAGAATGTCCGGTGTGACGTTGGCATTGTTGCCCTCCTGCCCTCTGTAGTTGTTGCCAATGGCTTGTATCCAACTCAGTCGAGTTCACACGGAGTTAGACGTGTGCTTAAGGCATTGAAACCAGTGCCAGCTATAGCAATTCCACAGAAAAGTTTGCCATGCATGAGTAGTAAAGTGCGCAATGGCCAAGTCTTATAATTGAGGTGGAGAAGCTTGAAGATGAGGATGTCTCATCAAAATAGAAAAGAAATGACATCGTGTGAGGATACTTAATCTTCACTGCTTAATTCCTGCATCCGCATCCAATATTTTAAGGACAAGAGAGTTAAATGGAAAGGAAGTCTAGTTTCATGCATTTTCCTGTATTGTAATCACAACTGGACCTTCCCAACTCGAAGTGGTTTAGACAGGGGAAAATGCTGGGAGAAAAATAAGAAACAGAAAGAACGAAAGAAAAATCGTCTCAAAAACGACCGAATTTTTTTAAAGTTAAAAAGTTGCCCATTTTGTGACAATTGCGGCAAGGCATACAATTTTAAGCGGAGTTTCGTGTTAATTTGATGTTGGCCCATCCTCGGACCAAGTATGAGTGAATATATATCCGTCGTGAAATTGAGTTGGATGCCTTTAACCCTTTCTCTCCCAACACCCATGTCCAGGTCTGTCCCTGGCCGCACCTCGTGAGAACGACACTAAGAACCCGTGTAAGGGTGACCAGGAGGAGAAGGTGTGGAAGGGGTGCCGGGTAGCAGAGGGCCGCAAGTACTGTGAATGTGGCAAGGTCACCGCCTGCGACAACCCCTACAAGTTCAAGAGCGACAGAGAATGCATGAAGGACCTATTCAGTACGTGCAAGTTGGTTTTTCTATTGTACATTCACAGGATCTTTCCTGAAGAAAAAATAAACTGTTCTCCATCTCAAAAAGAAATTGACTCACCAGACATTTTCAACTGAATCGCTCAGTCTTCATCAGCAGATAGGTGCAGTTTGTAACTGCCATAAAAAGGGATTGTGTGTTTAGACATCGTTGGCAATTTTTTTAATGTGCTCAGCATAGAATGATCGAAATCAATAGATTTATTGTAGGAATATTAGGAAATTGGTCATGAAAAACAGACATTAACGCATGGGTCTCATGAATTAGTGGGGCAGATAACATCAAATTTTGGAGGAATCTTTCACTTGATACAAGCACCAAACTTGGTACAAATACTCATGAGACATTACTCTTTTGAAAAAGTACGCGGGCCACTTGATTTGACTCTTGCTTTTTGGTACTGCAGGCGACCTTCTGGGCTTTGTATCTCCTGTTGTAAACATGCTACAGTCATGATTTTTATGTGGTAGAAAGCTGTTGTTAAAGTAAGGAAGAAGTGACGTAAATTTGGTGTCTCTAGCTGCTTGCGTTGGACCTGGAGGGGCGTTTTTTGCCGGTGCAAAAATTTGCTTCAAGGGCGCTTTTTTGCTTCGGAACGTCGGCTGCAGTACCAAAAAGCGCCCTTGGAGCAAATTTTTGCACCGGCAAAAAATGCCCCTGCAGTTCTAACGCGTACTTTTTCAAAAGAGTAATGTCTCATGAGTATTTGTACCAAGTTTGGTGCTTGTATCACAAAGTGAAAGATTATTTCAGTTATCTGCCCCACTAAATGAGACCCTTTGCCGCATTTGCACTTTTAATTGTTCAATTTGGTTGTTCATATTCTATATTCTTATCCATTCATACAATTTACTTCCAGGTGACGTCTGCAACCCGAACCCATGTAAGAATGGCGGACGCTGTTCTCAGAAGGGGAAGCAGTACGCCTGTCTGTGTTCCAACACGGGCTTTTACGGACGGAGATGCCACAAGGGTACATTTGTTTGTTTGTTTGTTTGTTTGTTTGTCCTATTCTTTTCGATAAGTGTTAGTGGTAGGTTATCTCAAGTGCTGGAGGAGTGGCTCTCGAAACTAGACCTCTATCTATCTCTCACCTCCCCCCCCCTCTCTCTCCTCTCAGAGAGAGAGAGACAGACAGGCAGGCGGAGACAGACAGAGATAGACAGACAAACCGACAGAAAAAGACAGAGACAGACAGACAAAGACATACATAGGCAGACAGGCAGAGACAGACAGGCAGAGACAGACAGAGACAGACAGACAGATGCATACAGACAAAGACAGAAATAGGCAGACAAGCAGAGACAGACAGAGACAAACAGGCAGATTCAGAGACAGACAGACAGCTGAGACAGATATATAGAGACCGACAGACAGAGACAGACAGACAGAGACAGACAGATAGACAGAAACAGACAGAGAGAGACGGGCAGGCAAAGACAGACCGACAGGCAGAGACAGACAGGCAGACAGACAGGCAGAGACAGACAGACAGACAGACAGACAGAGACAGACAGCTAGAGACAAACAGGCAGAGACAGACAGAGACAAACAGACAGAGGTAGACAGAGACAGACAGGCAGACACTTTGAGACAGACAGACAGACAGAGACAGGCAGGCAGACAGAGACAGACAGAGACAGACAGACAGAGACAGACAGACAGACACAGACACAGACTGACAGACACAGACTGACAGGCAGAAACACTGACAGGCAGACAGAGAGAGACAGACAGACAGAAACAGACAGACCGATAGACAGAGACAGACAGAGACAGACACACACACACACACAGACAGATAGAGAGGGATTGGAATCTCTGTAGTGTAAAGATTGCGATCGGAAAGGTTGCTGGTAGAGGTTTCTATCGCAATGGATACTCAGTTTATTCTTGAATGATTGATTGATTGATTGATTAGACTTATTAAATAGCCATACCATACAATTTCGAGATTCCTAGAAAAGTGAAGTTGATGTTGAAATAGTTGTTTTTTCTCCACAGCGTGTCCGGAGCCAGGCTCAATGCTCATGATGTCTCCCCGCTTCCCTGTGGACTGTATCCACGTCGGGTAAACGTCACAGCGCCACCTGCCGCTGCAGTACCACGTCAGCGTGACACGGGGCGTGCATCGTCTTAGTAAACCTTGCCCTCGTGAAAATGCTACAAGTTTTCATGACAACTTTGAAGCACTTGCTTCAAGCCAATAAAGTAGATGTGGTTATAAGCCCACAAAATGTCTAAAAGATAGTGTGAATAACTCGTTAATATTGTACAAGAAAACCTCACTGGTTGGTGTAAGTCTATTGGTAATGTGTTTTAGTCCGGTGTTGGTTATGGCATTAAATGCGCTACACCGTTTTGTCTGGTCAACACGGCCAGGTGTATTTGAACTCACGTAACTATGACGTAGGTGCATGTATATCCGCCATGTTGGTTGGTTCAACCTGAAAGTTACCAAGTGAATTTGAACTTGAGTCTGCAATTACAGTCAATCAATTATGACCATACGCATACAAACTTACAGTTCTGACTTTACAATGGCCTAGTCTCCTTAGCATGCTCTTTTTTAGTGCTTTTGTAAGATGGCGTATCGGTAATGGGTTTCTTGTGCACTAGCCTGACTAAATCTGCGCTCCTAGCGGCCGGCCCGGTATTACACCAGCCGCCGGCCGCTAGGAGCGCAGATTTAGTCAGGCTACTTGTGCACAACCTCTCGACTTATACAGTCAGGTCACTGTTGCTGTTTACATTTAGTCAATTCAAGAATAAATGTTCACGTAAGAATGGAACAAAATTGTACAATTCTCTGCACACAGCCTTAAAATGTCATATTTCCAGTTGATCAATCATATTCAATTCCACACAAAACTGGGTAATTAACTAATTGCTTCTGTTACAAGGAGTGTAGACTAAAACTCTATATATGACTGAATGACTGACTGATCTGACTGACTGAATGAGTTATAATAATGAATGAATAAACGGCTGAATAAGTGAATGAATGAATGAATCAATGGATAAATAAATGAGTGAGTGAGTGAATGAATGAGTGAGTGAATGAATGAATGGGTGAATGAATGAATTGATGAAACCATAAATAAATTATTTTGTGGCGTCGGGTGGTGTAGTGGTTAGAGCAATCGACTGTGAACCGGGAGACCCGGGTTCGATTCCGAGTCGTACCCGGGACACGTCTGAACATGCGCCCCGACGTTGTGCCCTTGGGAAAGGCACTTTACACGAATTTCCTCACTTCACCCAGGTGTGAATGGGTACCTAACTTCGGTTGGGGAAAGTCGTATTGAGGTCACCTTGTGGCGCCGAATGGCAGCCGCACAGACCCTTGCGACAGTTCCACAAAAATGATTGTGGAACAAATATGTGCATTATTTGTATTATTTGATTGTTGTAATTGTTGTGATTTGTATTGATTATTATGTGATACCCTGCACCAATTCAGCCGTATAAAGGCTGCGACTGCACGGGTACTGTTTGGACAATAAAAACCATTTAACCATCTGTAGCCTATTAGGCTACAGAAAGGTGCTTAAATGAATAAATAAATGCATGGGTGGATGAATGAATGAATATCACCCTAAATTGGTACAATCGTCTCTCTCTCTCTCTGTAGCCTATTAGGCTTTGAATGGTGCTTTAAGGCCTGGTCACAATCCACCGTACGTGCTTCTGCGTGCTGTCTACGTGCAAGAACGTGGGCAAACGTAGGGCATCCGTGTGTGGTGAGTACCGCCACCGTTCGGAATCCTGCGGATTTGGGAGCACGCAGACACGCCGTAGAACTTTAAGTGCATGTAAAACTTTTTCCACGTGCGGTCTGCGGATTCACCACCCGTGCGTGCGAGTACGAGTGACGCGCGTGCCCCGTGCGTACCGTGCGTAAGAAGCACGTGTGAGTACGGCCTCCTTACGGTAAAGTTGCAATCGCACAGAGATCGTACGTTGTAAGCACGTACAACTCACTTACCTCTTGCGCAACGAACGATGCACACAACCGCTCACGGCCAGACGTGGCGTGCACACCACACTCTTACACCTTGCGCAACCGTGCGAGTGACGTGCGTAGACGCCACTCCTTCCACACGTTTCAGAAAAAAAGGAGCAGACGTAGCCTCCCAAAAAACGTACGGACAAAAAGCACGTACGGCGGGTTGTGGTCAGGGGTTTAGGCTTTGAACGGTGCTTAATGGTAGGAGCTTAACTCAAACATCTGAGCAAGGCAGCGAGTTCTCTTTTGTGACGTGCACAGAGCAGAAGATTAAAGCAGATCAGGCCCCCAGGCCTCCATTCAGCACTGTCTTTGCAACACATCTATTTGTCGTGTGGCGTAGCGGCAGAGTGCTCGACTCGGAACCAAGAGGGTTCGAGTCCTGACATGTCACCGATCTTGTGCCCTTGGGAAAGGCACTTAGCAGGACTTTCCTCACTTAACTCAAGTGAAAATGAGTATTATGCTGTACTGCATTTGTACTCTGTGTTGGTGGCAGCATAAAATAAGTTGATATAACTTGAGTGTGCCGTTGCCATGTTTGGTCATGAAATGTTGGAATAAAAAAAACACAACACACAGCACACGCCTCTTTCATGACTGTACATGTGGCATCCTGGGTATGTCCTTAGGCGGGCTTGATAAGATGATTGAAAATAGCTGAAATAACTGGGCCTGACATCCATCATCCAATTGTACTCCAGACTCTATTCAACACAACATACTACAGCGCCCACACACATATTTTATCTCCTGGCTGTACATCATTAAAAATAAAATTAATAGTCATCCTCAGCAAATATTGTTCATATTCTATGATAAATGTTAAATTGGTAGGTGTCTTCTCTTCACTAGTACATATCTTATTATCATAACATTATCATTTTATGATCCTGTTTTCATAGTTGACAACTTGACAGTGCATGACAAAAATTACAAAAGAAAACCAAAAACACGCCCTAACCCTAACCATGACCATCCCAGCCAGGTACAAGCTTCCCAGAGTCGACCCCAGGCATTGAGTATACGTAACCCACGTTCCCTAACTCCAACACTACCGTGCCAGCCAGGTATATGTACTACAAATGTGCGGAAACACTTGAAATGCGGATATGAAATAATCTTAATATATTATCCAGTAGTAAATTGAACACACAGTCCGAGTGTTAAGATTAAGGTTACCTGTCCTACGAACACACAGACCGATTGTTAAGATATTTTACCTGTCTTAAGGAAACACAGTCTGAGTCTTGAGAGTCCGAGTGTTAAGATTGATTCATGAGTTACCTGTCACACAGTTCGAGTCTTAAGATTAAGGTTACCTGTCTAAAGAACACACACCGAGTCTTGAAATTATATTATATTATATGATATTATAATAACACACAGTCCGAGTGTTAAATTAATATATGTTCCCTGTATTAAGGACACACAGTCCGAGTCTTAGATTAAGGTTACCAGTCTTAAGAACACACAGTCCTAGCAGCACGTGCCCCTTAAGATCACCTGAGGAACTCACAGACATAGTCTTAATGAGGGGTAAAGCCTGAGGAACGCACAGACATATTTTAAGAAGGGGTAATGTCCGAGAAATCAATAAAGAAAGTCTTAAGGAGGGGTGCAAGTCCGTCATATTCTTTTTTTTTATATTCCGAAACATGCAATCACAAGACGTGGTGGCGGCACACTCAAGTTTTTTCAACTTATATTAATGCCGCCAACAACACAGGGACAGTACAATACTCATTTTCACCTGAGCGAAGTGAGGAAAGTCGTGTAAAGTGCCTTTCCCAAGGGCACAAGATCGGTGGCTTGTCAGGACTCGAACCCGGGGCCTCTGGTTCCGAGTCGAGAACGCTGCCGCTACGCCACACGACCCCACTACAATATTCTTATTTGCGAGCGAGGATAGTCTTAAAACCGGTACCTGACTTTGGTTTGGAAGGACAAAAACGGAGGAAGGAGAGGGATGGGTTTCGCAGACCTCCCGGGTGTCAACCTCGAACAGGACGAAAAAGAATAACAAGTTCCCAAAGCGACAAACCTGCCTATTACGGCACACCGCGGTTGGAACACTACCAAAATGCTTTTTCTCGTTTTTCTTGTACAAAGAAAATTATTCTTTGAACAAGAAGTTAAAGAATAGTAGCAAGAAAATTCAAGAAACACGTGTTCCTTGAGTTTTCTTGCTGTAGCAAGAAAACGATTCTGTGTACAAGAAAAGATTTCTTGAACTAAGAGCTAACTTTCGTAAAATTAAAAAAATTCTTAAGATTCTTGTTGGTGAGCATGATAATAGAAATATTTTCTTTTCTTAAGAAAAAAGAAGAATAAACTTCTTTGTGTAAGAATCAACATACAAAAACTTTGTGAAGAATGTTTCTTGAATTTTCTTGAATACTAGTGTCCCCTTTACAAGAAAATATTTCTCAACATGAGAAAATAATTATAAGAAAAATAAGAAAAAAAAATTGGCAGTGAGGTTGTGGGCAAATATACAGTAGCCTGAGTGTCAGCCTTGTTAGCTTTGTCCGCTCCCCAAGATCCGCTCCCCGCGGGGCTAAATATACAGCAGGTAGCGTCGTTACAACATCGTTGTCAACAACAAAGCCATAGTACTGAGGTAAATTTCGTGTTAAGGGAAATGTTCGTCCTTGGAATTGGCCTTTCATGTCACATTTAAAAAATCAAGAGAAGAGAAAGATCAACAGGTATCCAACAGGATGGAAGGAAAGGGATGGGTTTCTACCCTCCAATACCGTGTCCGCGACAGAATGGCTGAACCTCACTGTTTTTTTTTAATGATTTCTAACATGTAATCACAAGACGTGGTGACGGCACAGTCAAGTTTTTCAAACTTATATTAATGCCGCCACCAACACAGCGGACAATACAATACTCATTTTCACCTGAGCGAAGTGAGGAAATTCGTGTAAAGTGCCTTTCCCAAGGGCACAAGATCGGTGGCATGTAAGGACTCGAACCCGGGACATCTAGGTTACGAGTCGAGCACTCTGCCGCTACGCCACACGACTTCACGTGTTTCTATGGCTTATCGGGCATTCACCTGTATATCTATATCAACAGCAAAACCTTCCTGAGAAAATTATCCTTGAAATATGATCCTCTCCGGAGTCCATATCAGAGAGGATAATGAAATCCTCAGGTTCAATTCGCGTCGCCAAGCAGCAAATCTACCTCTTACGGAGTATCCCAGTTTGAGGTGGTAAACAACTTAAAGCAGATAACGTTGTTACAGAATCGTTGTGAACAACAAGTCAATGACTTGTAGAGGTAGATTCCATATGAAAGGCATCCAGTGCGATTTTAGGGCAGCAAAACTGAAATATTCTAAGTAAGGCAATCTTCTAATACTGGCACATACTACTTCACATTGGCATATTGGAGTCAGAATTTCATACTTTGGGCTTTTAAAACTGCAGAAACAAGCCCCAAGATGAGTCCTTTATTTTCTGGATGGTACCCTAAAAATCAGCCCAGGGCCCTTCGAGTAACCGTTTTCCGTCAGAATTTCGGGAATTTTCGCTCCTTGAGTGTCAATATACACTGAGAAAGTGTGGTTTTAATTTAGTATGTAGATAAACGACTAGAACATTGAATCTGAAAAATTGGGGTTCCAGGCCCTAAAAACTGCACTGGATGCCTGGAAAATATTGTTCATTGGAAGGGCTATGTTAATGTGACATTTAAAGAACAAAATCAGAGAAAGTTAAGTACCCAACAGGTTTATCGTTTCGGCCGTAAGCTCAAAAAGATGCATTGGTATAAAAGGAGTGGGCAAAAACAATTACGATTTCATAATGATATTTCTGTTGCTAAATCATATTCCCGACCGTTAAAACTTCCGCATAAAACTTGAGAGGATAGTCAAACTTTCTCCACCTTCGTCCTAAAAACGTAACACTAAGGCCACAGCAAGTAATTTTTATGGATGACATCAGCGCGCGCAATAATTTTCGCCTGATTTTGGAAAGAAAACAAGAAATTTTGTTGCCTTCTGACAGTGGTCAACATGACGAAAATAGGCCAAGATGCCTGTTGCCATGCCGGAAGGTGGATGGCAGATAACTATAAAGAGAGGAGACAAGACAAGGCTCTGATTTTATGTTTTGTTTCTTATTTTGATGCAGTGATATGTGATGCTGACTGTGTATATGTGATGTTCCCATTCAATCAAAACCATTTGTACAATGATTGAGTCAAAATTTCAAAATGTAAGAACCTTACTTTTTTGGGCCCGCCTTGTTTTTTTTTTCGCCGCTCGCATTAGATTTGGAGTCTGTGGAGGATGTCATCCATAAAATTTACTTGCTGTGGCCTAACGTCTTCCAAGGAGCCGGACGACAGCCGATGGCCGACCACATTGATGACGTCATCACGTGAAATCACGGCGCGATGTATCCCAGCATCCATTGTATCATAAACCCTACAAAATAACAACTCATACCTTTTAGTTGACTAAAATTCATAAATTATATGACCCCCCTTATTTATAATTACTTAATTAATAATTAGAAATTCTAATAATTTGATTTAGCACACGAATGTCCATCTTTTAACCAATACATTGTACCTAACCTCACATCATGACACATGGGACCCAGGCCATATCACCGTTTATAGCAGTAAGGTGCGAAGCGATGAACACCTAGCCTCTACCAGGCTTCTGGAGGCGGGTGGAAAGAGTAGAAATCAGCAGACAAACTCCCCCAGCATGTTATCTCTCTATTTGCCCGATTTCTACTCTTTCCAGTCACCACACGGAGCCTGGTAGAGGTAAATGAACTCCAAGAAAACAGCAGATGGCCCTATTTTGTACAAACAAGCCTTTGTCCTAATTTTTTAAACCCCATACCACCGCAGCGAAATCCATCCACTTCAGGTCAAACACATGCGTCATAGAATACGAGGTAAGCTTGGGAAGTGGGAACATCATATATACACACCAATACATTGTACACTTCGATTGTCCATAAATTGTAATTCATAATTTTTAACCTTTAGTAATAATTGTTATAAGTCTATGATAATGTATGTATGTAATGTCACCATAATTCAGTCTTAGGACTGCAAGTGTGACATATGTAAGGGAAATTTCAAATAAACCATTCTGATAAATTTTGAGCAATTTTCTTTGAAAGATACTGACTATTTATTGTCACCTACATTATTTGCATTATATGTTAACGATCTTGCAAAACTGGTAAAGCAATCTGATCTCGTAGTCAAATTAGACGATATAACACTGGTGACATTGTTCTCATAGCTGAGACTGAGGCCCAACTACAGAAAATGTTGGACATTGTATCTAAGTATAGTGCTCAGAATGGAGAATGATGATCAATTAGGCTAAAACTCAAATTATGCAATTTTTCGAAAACGTGGTACAAAGCAAAGCTCCTATGAATTTATGTTTGGAAAGATGAAACTGGATTATGCTAGCTAAATACTTGGGCCTCCACTCAGATGAACATTTGGCTTTTACACCTGGTACCAATATCTTGGCAGACGCAGAGGGGAGGGCTTTAAGAGGTGTTTTGGGCAGTTAAAGTCTTAAAGGACTTAGGGTACCAAGCTTACCTCGTACTCTATGACGCATGTGTTTGACCTGTAGTAGATGGATTTCGGGGGTATGGGGTTTTAAAAATTAGGACAAAGGCTTGTTTGTACAAAATAGGGCCATCTGCTGTTTTCTTGGCGTTCATTTACCTCTACCAGGCCTCTCGAGGCGGCTGGAAAGAGTAGAAATCGGGCAAATAGAGAGATAACATGCTGGGGGAGTTTGTCTGCTGATTTCTACTCTTTCCACCCGCCTTCCGAAGCCTGGTAGAGGCTAGGTGTTCATCGCTTCGCACCCACTTCTGCTATAAACGGTGACATGTGCTGGGTCCCATGTGAGGTTAGGTGGAAGGGAGCGATGGTGGCACTGTGGAACAGGCTTGTTGGTATGCCTGATGGCAGGATTACAAAGAAGGTTTTCAAGTGGGACCTACATGTACGGCCCATGGAGCAAACATTTGCATGAAATATTTTGTGATTCAGAACATGAGTATGTATTTTTAATAGGATCAGAGGTGACACTTGGCGTATGAAACACTTACTGTTCTTTCAATATGAACAAAACTGGTCCTCAGAGCTATGGCTTAAACCAAAGCTGAGAACGTATGCACTGATCAAAGATACATTCGCCCAAGAAAAGTATGTCACTCTTCTTCCCAGCTAGTGGAATGTACTTTTTAATTTGTAGTAAGCCTTTATGCTACACCTTATCGAACGCCTTTGATATATCCAGGGCAACAGCTCTGGACACATAACCACCATATTCTCTCTAGTTGTCCTTCTTTTTCTTTTTTCTTTAGTTATACCCTCAATTAAAGACGGGGGGTCTCGATCGTTTCTCGAGACATTATGAATGACCAGTCGTTAAGAAAATGCTGGTTAAGACTTACTGGTACAGCCCCTTAAAGAAGTCGTCATACCCCCAGAGGGTGGAGAAGGTGCCCGGTGGCAGAGGCAGACTGGGAGAAACATTTATTTTTGTTTATTTTCTGTTTGCATTAAAAAGAAAAAAACAGGACAAAGAGTCAGAGATAGCATCACGCATCTGACAAAGGTTGACGAGATCGACCCAAAATTTATAGCGAGTTCCCTTCTTGTGTTAGAAGAAAGCTTGAACTTTACAACTATGGATTCTACCAACACAGATGAACTTTCTTTTGAGAGATTGTTGTGAATTATGTAGGAATGCTGAAGAACGCAGAAACCTAAAGGCTTATCGAGGGGTTCCCTTAGAATACTGTTGATTACCTTTGGTCCGATTCGGACAACTTAGACAGCAGCAACTCAGAGCTTTTACTAGGTCTGATTTAGTACAAAATCCACACACGGTGTACTTATACTTTGTTCTTACGCTTTAAATGTCTCATTAATTCTAAAGGAAGTGTCATGCTGTCTTTCATATCCAGCGTCACGTAGAAAATCTGGAGTAATACAAATCCATTTTTGATCGTTCAGAGATTGCAATCTTGTGCTAAGGATCGGGGCCTGAGATAAAAAAAAAAGGTTAGCAGCGGCTGAACGTTAATAACACCAAGAATTCAATCAATGACATCAACAGCAGTAAGAAATTCACATCCTGTTATTGCCAACCTCTTTATGTATGATGTCAAAAATGTTAATTGACGCTGGCGGACATTTTTGAAACGCCACGCCACCTAGCAATTGTCGTCATCAAAGAACGTTATTAAATTTTCGCTCTGCGCTTGCCAGCTTGTATTTCCACCTATTACGGACGGGAAAGTTCTTAATCGCACACTCGGTTTTTCTGATCGTCTGTGTGTTCATCCTGAACCATGGAGGAAGAAGCGAGTGGTAGTTTTGACAGCATGTACAACGCGTTCCGTAGTCTGGAGGCGTTGAACAGTCGACTGTCCCTCGGACTCCAGACGGTGTATCTCGTTCTCAGCCTGGTGGTGGCTGTGGGTTGTGGCCTGCTGCTCATCTACCTGGTCTGGAAGAAGGAGTATCTCCGAAAGCCCCGCCACTACCTGCGGTGTAACCTGGCAGTAGACGACATCATCTTCACAACCTGCATCATCACCACCGAGATCTGCTTCCTCTTCAGTCAAGACGACACCAACGACCAACAGTTCTGTATGGTCCAAGTGCTGGTGGTTCACCCGTCCACAATATGCATGTTTGGTACCTACCTGCTCATGGCCATAGAGCTGTACTACTTCATCTGCAAGCCGCTCCACTACAACGGAGAAGTCACCACAAAGCGCGTCGCCATCGGCATCGTTGCAGTCAGGGCAATCGCCATGATCTTCGGGTTTGGGCCGCTGGTGGTGAAGCGACTGCAGAGCTCGGGAGACAGCCTGCGGTGCGGTCCCGAGCCCATCGGCAGCACCAGCGCGTCCGCCGTCTTCAGGAGCGTCGGTCAGGGCGGGATCGTGCTCGCCGTCCTCGTCATCTTCCTGCTCTACTTCTTCGTCTTGAAGGAAGCCAGGAAACAGCAGGAGAGAGACGAGCATCGCAACCTGTGGCTCTGCCAGACCAAGGCCTTCAGAACGATGGCACCGCACGCCATTGTTGTCATCGTGTCGGCAGCAACCCTGGCCTTCGTCAGCGCCTCATTTAGGTCTCTCTTCAACGGAGATGGACGAAAAGCGGCAGCCTCCCTGCTCCTTACAGCTCAAGTGGCCAAGTTGCTGAACATAACCGTCTCATCGATGGTCAACCCCATCGTCTACAGCTTCGGGCGCCCGGAGTTCCGGCGAGCTCTGAGGGAGCTGTGCAGCAGGCCTCCGGACGCACTTGTGGCACAGGGCATGAAGATGGCCGTCTTCAACATCCACATCGCACCAACAACGCCACGGGGAGAGCGCCAGCAGGGAAAGGAGGCTCCCCGCAGTCCGGTCCAAACACAGGCAACTGGTCAGGAAGCGCCACTTCCAGGACAGTGCACACAGCAGACGCCCCAACCAAACCGGCCCGTGGTCCTCACCGTACAAGCAGAGGTGCACGCCAGCCCACCGCCACGCCCCCAACACCACGGACAGAAGACAGCCCCTCCTGAACAACACAGACAGCCAGAGGTGCACCCCAGCCCACCGCCATGCCCCCAACACCACGGACAGAAGACAGGCCCTCCTGAACAACACAGACAGCCAGAGGTGCACCCCAGCCCACCGCCATGCCCCCAACACCACGGACAGAAGACAGCCCCTCCTGAACAACACAGACAGGAGTTGGGGGGAATTTCCGCTTCGATGTCAGACACCCCCATGGATGTGCATCTCACCAGTCTCCGAATCCTTGTAGATGACTCGGATCCCGGAGACGCCAAAAGCAATATTGTCTGACAGTCCAGTCGACGACAAAGCAGAAACAAGCCAACCACTGCCCAGCCAAGACACGGCCCTCCGTGTGCCGACAGAGAAACAACCCGGCCTATGGTCAACCCGTCACCACGTATCAACATAGAAGGGCACATCATCATCACCATCTCTGTCGCAAGCAGTCATGGGCTAATGACACCGACCAACCCAGAACCTTCAGATTCTAAATCAAAAGCCCACACGCCTAAAGACCATCTAGCTACCTTCAACCCCACAACAGGAACATGCATTTGGAAAGTGACAGTTGCAGGCCGTTGGATTTGTTGTCCACGATCAACAGTGAACACTGACAACAATGGTATGGACTGTGACCAGCTGCCGAAACACACTCACCAACAACAGCAACAATGTCGGGACAGTTTCATACATGGACAATCTCTGTACTTTATTGTGGACATTCTGTTGATCCAGATGCAGAACCGCCCTGACTACACTACAGGTAGGAAACTGTTTCAGAATCATTTTTGGGCCCAACAATGCCAACTACAATATAGACTGCAATAATGGTGACTTAACAAATTAACTCATAAAACCTGGTCTGAATTGAAGTGAACAGTGGCTAGTATAGATAAAGGCTATATTGGTTGCGAGGACTTGTAACAGTTTTAGCTTGTTTGCTTGTAGATATTTTGTTCTTCCGTGTTTTTATGAATTGTTTTTGTCTTAATTGTCACAGAGTAAACCATCGTGATCATAGCTAAAGAAAAATAGACATTGATTTTTGAAATCGCCTGGATAAAGACTAAATTTGTAAAAGAAAAAAATCTTGCGTTTTTATGTAGTAGATGTAACAATAAAAATCCAGTAAAGCCAGGAAAAAAATGTAAAGAACGTATATGGATATTACATTTTTAGATCGATATTTGTGAATGAGTAACTTACACAAGAAAAGTATTAATGTACATAAAATTTGTATTGTGTCCAGGGAGTAGTCATGTCAAAGGGATCGTCAAATTTTGTGACAGATGAACAGGGTTCGAAATTATTTTTCGGTGCACCTAACCTAAGATTTTGGTTTCACAAAACAAATTTTGGGTGCACAACATACGATCAAGGAGTATGTCAACAAAACTAAAATTACAAACCTTACTGCCTCTCTTTAGAGTTTAAATCTAAAATTCTATAGCTAATTTGAAACGATTAATCAAACAAAACATTTCTCATTTTTGGCTGTATATTATAATATTAATGCGTAACATATTCGTAGTGCCTTTACATACGTACATTGTAACCCAATCAATACAAATATCATGGTACACCCATGGACAAAAATATGGTGCATATTCAGCCATAAGTTCGAGTCCTGGTGTGTCTACTCCAGACTACACGACTCAGTTAGCGTTAGCCAGTCTCAGTGTTGTCTATGGCCTGCTATGGCCTGCCTTTATTCCGTCGGTTCCCAGGAATGCCCTTTATGCTTAAGTGGAAATATTGAGATCAGATTACAATGCATTTTTTTCTCGATCTTCTGTCTGTGCCATGCAAGTCCATTCCACCTGGCATGTCACCAATGTTAAAAGCCATCAGCTACAGAAACTGATCTCTCTTAACAACACTTAGCCTGTCAGGCTTTCATAGCATTATGTGTGCAGTCCAGGATTATACAAATAATTGTATATTTTACCTAAGATACTATAGAAAGTAGTCTTTATGCATGGCTAATTAATTACATTTTCGTGAGCTGATGAATTGATGGCAAATACTTAAAGCTACTCTAGTTGAATTGTTTCGTGGAGTGTATTAGTTTAATCCTTCATATAGTATGCATAAATGTATTGCTGGCCCTCGGTTGGTTTAAGGCTGCCCAGTCTATGGGAAAGTAGTATTCTATACATATGCCTGTAACTTTTGATAGCTTGGTCGCACAGTGACGAAACTTCACACAGTTTTAGTTGTACTTGAAACGCATTGAATAAAGGGTACTTCAGTTTTTCTTCACCTGGATTTTGGGTTAGAAATACACATTTTCTCCAAAAAAATAGCCGTTTATTTCATGAATTTACGCGCAGGCGGTAATAACACCTTCCATTGTTATATTTTACAAGATGAGAGCCAAGCCATTACCTTTTTTTTCTGTCCGAGGCTTTTTTTTTGTTTAAAATGGGTATTTTGTTTTAGTTTTAGGTCAACATCACAAGAAACAGCTATTTTTGGCCATTTTTGGTTGAAAAGTCGACCCAGTAAGAAAACATCCAAATTTATTCAAAATAGCCTCGGAAAAATTTGATAAGAAAGTGATAATTCGTAAACATGGATTACTCTAAAGATCAATTATGTTGTTTTCAGCTTTAAGACAAAATCCGTGAACAAAAGGGTTTACAGGGGAAACAGGGGAAACATACAAATGACCGCCGGTAACGCTGAATTCGAACACGCGTTCTATTCGAAAAACGTCATATCGAACATGTGGAACATGATTCGGGTTCGAAACAAGTCTGGGGCCATCGTGCAGACACACGCCCGAACTCAAACATGAATATCAGCCTAGGCCGCCTTAACCCAACCGAGAACTCGCCAAGCATGGTGACTATGGCGTCACAGACTGCATAATGTTCTTGTGAGCACGTCGGCAGAACGTACTGCACCTGCGCGAAACCCGTAATGTATTATGCAGAATGTCTCATATAGGGTCGTATTCGCGTACATAAGGTTAACATCTCGTCTGTAGTTTCCAAATGTTGTTTCAGAAAAGTTTGCAATGGACAAAAATTATTACGCAACTTCACTAAACATCCAAGGAAAAAAAATCAGGGTTTCGCGCTAGCGCAGTATGTTTTGCCGACGTGCTTTCTTTTTTTGTAATACTGAGGTCACAGTTCCCAACCCGGGGCCCGGCTGGGAAGTTTGCGGAAACTAAAGGTATGTTAGAAAAGACAACAAAACACAATTGCAAAAAAATACTCATGGGCAATTTGTGTTTATTCTTCATATATTTCCTTCACCCGGGCCCTGGTTTGGAAATGTGACCTCAGCAATTTAGTTGGAATAATGTGATACTTTTGTGGACACACTGTAAGTGTAGGGACACAACATGAACTTTTCTGCGATCACAATATTGGACTGAGTTGTCATTTAATGACCAGTTTGAATTTTTGTCCTGTCCAACATGATAACTATATCGTTTCCATGTTTAGGTTTGATGTACGATTTTACATCCCCCGTTCGTCAGACTCTGAGCCCCGCATGTTGGCTAACTCCGGTCGTCAATTCATGAATTTCACACTTCCCATAATGCCTAGTAAAGATCACGGATATGACGTATTACCACAGTAGTATAGTATGCGGAGAAAGTGGCTTATTTCAGGCGGCGCTGTCAGGCGGCGCAGGTCATGGGTCATAATTATTGCCGGTGGCACCTCCTCAGCATATGGGTAGATATATCGATATGATACTTTACATGTTGAACGTATAGATATAATGTGTGTTTATGATCATTATAGTATATTCCGATATAGTAAATATGAATGGGCTTGTGATTCTATCCATGAGGAGGGTGTATAGATGTCTGAGAACTATGTATATTTCCTCCCGTCCTCCAACTCCCGAAGTGAATGAACAGCTAGTGAAGGCATATGTTCCACACACGTATATCAGTAGGTAGTACTCATATGTCATATCTAGTTATCAGAAGTGTGTATATCACCCCCATGAAACTCCTTCCTCTTCGCCCCCGCCGTTCTGCTTCGCCCCCGCCCCGTTCTGCTTCGCCCCCGCAAAAAATCTGCTTCGCCCCCGTCGTTCCTCTACGCCCCCGGCGCAATTCTGCTTTGCCCCCGTCCTTCTGCTTAGCCCCCAATGGCGGCACAGCTCACAGTCGACACGAAAATCGTCTGCAAAATAACAATAAAGGCTGTGCCGCCAAATTTAAAGTAGCCCATGCTCCGACAAACATTCTGGACCACCTTTCTGCCAAGTGGCGTTGCACAAATCCTTCCCATTCAAAAGTTTACCCCTTCCTCACGGCCCGTCAGTGGTTCTTACGTTTATAAGTACTGGCGGGAAATTTCACTCACGGCTGTACTTATAAACGCCAGTACTTATAAACGTAAGAACCACTGACGGGCCGTGAGGAAGGGGTAAACTTTTGAATGGGAAGGATTTGTGCAACGCCACTTGGCAGAAAGGTGGTCCAAAATGTTTGTCGGAGCATGGGCTACTTTAAATTTGGCGGCACAGCCTTTATTGTTATTTTGCAGACGATTTTCGTGTCGACTGTGAGCTGTGCCGCCATTGGGGGCTAAGCAGAAGGACGGGGGCAAAGCAGAATTGCGCCGGGGGCGTAGAGGAACGACGGGGGCGAAGCAGATTTTTTGCGGGGCGAAGCAGAACGGGCGGGGCGAAGCAGAACGGCGGGGGCGAAGAGGAAGGAGTTTCATGGGGGTGTATATGTCTTTCATGTGTATATTCCCTCCTCCTCCTCCTCCTCCCGTCCTCCAACGCCCAAAGCGCATAAACAGCTAGTGAAGGCATGTGTTACACACACACACAGGTATAAGTAGGTAGTATTCATATGCCATATATACTAGGAGTGTGTATATATGTTTTTCTTGTGTATATTCCCTCCTCCTCCTCCTCCTCCCGTCCTCCAACTCCCGAAGCGCATAAACAGCTAGTGAAAGCATGTGTTACACACACACACAGGTATCTGTAGGTAGTATTCATATGCCATATATATATATATATATATACTAGGAGTGTGTATTTGTCTTTCATGTGTATATTCCCTCCTCCTCCCCCGTCCTCCAACTCCCAAAGTGAATGAACAGCTAATATGAAGGCATTGTGTCCCACACAGGTATTAGTACGTAGTACTTATGTTATATCTAGTTATTAGTAGTGTGTAATCTATATGTGTTTAATGTGAGCATATTCCCTCCTCCTCCTCCCGTCCTCCAACTCCTAACAATAGTTATTTGAGTTGGTAGTACCAAATAATTGATAGTTAAATATCAAGTGGGCAAGAC